ACACATAGTCCCCTGACATCTTTTACGATGGCCAAGGAAAACTGGACATCACGCATTACTTCCCAAAATGGCTACAAATTGACAAAAGATCATGGTTTGAGGTGTTTCTCAATGAGAAACTAGATCTTGGGACCAAGATGTTCGGAAGTGTGGAGGACCTGAGGAGGACCACTAACTTTGTTTTTTACTCCCTGGCATATAGAGGGAAAGACGATGAAGAAGAAGAATAGTTAATTAAGAAAATTCCAGGTATTATGAGAGAAATACATTAATTTCCATTCAAAATAATTGACCACTACGTGTGTACGAATTACAATTGGCCCTATCATTGATAAAAATGGTCAAATTTCGATTTATTTTTCTGTTTGTAGCAAATTTAGTAACTTACTAAATTAACCCATTATAAAATCATGGGTACTATCAACCATAAATAGCATACTTTTCGAAGTATGAGCAATTAAAGTTTCTTTTTCTTAATATTTTTTTCCTTGAAGTTCAGGGAATTGGGACTATTTTCCTCTCTGTAGGAGAAAATAATCGCCGAAAATGATTGCTCAATCATAGGGTTTGATGAAGAATTAATTATGATATGGCATACTGCCAAAAATTACATTTGAGAAATAATATATGGTATACAGATTACTAAGTTGTTGTATGTTAAAGTATTGATTTATATACTAAAGTAAATAATAATCTTAGAACTTTCGGAAACAATAACAGGAGTGGAAGCAGAGGTCTATTTCTACGTCACAGCTCGATTCTTATCCACCATTTTCCCTATCACTGAGCAAACCTGTACATTATACTATCCTTGGCCTTAACCAGCCTTTTATATCTCTGCCTTGCTTGCGCTATTTCCTTGCAATTATCTGCATTCAGCTCTGCAGCATCTTTCTTCATTATGTCTTTCCATCAGGTTTTTGGCCTTTTACGTAGTCTCTGGGATGCCAACTATTGAGCGATAATTGTTGTTTAGAGTCAGAGCCAGAACTAGAAAGTGGGGATACAGGTTACGAGCGACTTTTAGGTGTATTAAAAAATAATTGTTTTCATTTTTGGATTATTTTTATCTTAATTCAGCCAAAAAAACTATTTTAGTGTTATTAAATTTATTTCAAAATATAACACCTAAAATACTGTTATTACCTGCTTTAGTTTCATTGGAGGAGAAAAGGGTGTTAAATTAACTCGCCCTACTGTTAAAGATTCTAGTTCCGGCTCCGTCTAGAAGCTTCCTGATGGACTGCTTCTAGCCACAGGCGGATCTACGGGGAGGAGGAGAGGAGCTTTCGGGCTGGAGCCCCCTCCCCCCCCCCCAAAATCGTAAAATGTAACCATGTTTTACAGAGACAATATTAAAAACTATCTCTTGAAGTATTCTTATTCATGTAATTGCATTTAATAGGACTTCAGGAACTACTTAAACACCATTTCATATAGCTAGTTAATTTCTTTTTTTTTCTAATTAATTATCGTTATATGTATATGAAAAAAAATCTTTCGGGCTGAAGCCCCCCCCCAAAAATTAAATCCTGGATCCGCTAGTGCTTCGAGCTGCATGTCCCGCACATCTTAACCTCTTGCCTTGTTCATGAGATATTGATTGTCTAGTTTCTGTCAAATTTTTATTGAATCTTCTCCATAAGTCAATAACCTGACCCGAGATAGCTCTGGTTACCGATCAGGTGGTTTCTATCTGATGTCTCTCAATACTTTTTTTAAGGAGCTGATTAGTGTCCAAATCTTTCAGTCCTGTCAGAACTGGCTTTATTAAAGGGTATCACACAGCATAGGATTTTTATTAGGACAAAAATCATAAGAGTAATGAAAAGTTTAGTCTGTTTTGTTAATTTTAAGAATTTTGACCAAATAATACAATAATTCATGTTTATATAATTTGATTAGACAATCAGCATCAAAGGGATGATTAAAATAAAAAATAGTCGTTTCAGATGATTACGTATATTTTTACTTTCACTTACCTATATTTGAAATATATAGTAAGGGTAAGCATTGCGATCATGAAAATTTTCGAGTCTGAGTTACCAACGGAAATACATGTTTTGAGGTCTCCTGAGTCCAAATAATCAAGTCCCGCAAAATGGCGTGTGTGCGCGAGCGTGCGTGCGTGTGTCTAGCTCAAAAACGAAAAATCAAAACTGATATTACTTATTTAAGATGGGAATATGCCTTAGATGTTACAGCAACTATTCCCTTAAAAATGGCTAACCGGAAGTGTCATTTTATATTAAAGCTGAAACACATTTTTACAATTTTCTTAAAAATGGCTGTAACGATTTTGATTAAACTCGGTGAAGTATTGTATAATTAAGTGGTCTTTAATATAATTTAGGTCATATCCCCATTGATTTCACTTTACAGGGCTTAAATGATTATATTCGTATACGTCCTACTCTAAAGTATCTTCAATATGGTTTATTTAAACAAATTAACTGTCTTTATTGACACTAACTATAAAAAATGGTTAAATATGAAGTTTGATAGAATATGATAATTGGAAATTAGAGAAAAAAAGAATGCTTATCCAGGCTGAAAATGAATCTCTGGAATTAACAGTCAAAAGGTAGACGTATAATATATCGTTGGAAAGCGGAGCATTTTGGAAAAAATGATATTGAATAAATAAAGTTGTAGACGGTAATGCAGAGTTACGAAAAAAATATAAATAATGTCAGAAAACTAACATTATTTAACATAAATCACATGTATCAAATAAAGTTGAATGAAATTTTCTTACTATGTGTAAACTTTTAAAGTTTTTTCTAAGTTTGAAAAAAATATTATTTAAAATTCACCGAATCAAGCCAATGCCATCGTTTAAGATATTATTTCAATGTACTCGTGTGAAAGAAGAAGTGAAATATAAAAATATTTCATGAATATGTTTATAACCTTAAATACATTTGATGTAGTTTAATAACTGTAGATATGATAGTATTTTTAAATAATTAGGTATCTATTGGGCGTTTAATCCAAAAAAAACATCAACTAACCTTTTAGGAAATTAAATTAGTGAATAATTTGATGAATTTTCCCTTTATGAAATCACAACATTATTAGTGTAACAACTCTTGACCATCCATGGCAGACAATGAAAATCTCGTAATTTCATTTTAGTAAACTTTATAATGGAAAATAACAGTTTAATAATTAATAGTCCTACGATCCATAATCATTTAGAGATTAAATATTCAGATATACTTTCAAATCTCCCTAGGCTCCAATCTCATCATTCTTTATTATTAATTTTAGTGATGTTTCTAGCGGGAAAATGTATACCTTTATTAACAGTTCTATATTTCAACACTGCAATCACCTACTCTGGAATCAACTTACTCATTGTCTGTGTAGATAACTTTTTCAACTAAAAATATCACTAAAATGAGGTTAATTAAAAATGATGAAATTGGAGTTCGTCATTATGTCAACTGAAAGGCTCAGAGACTGAAGTTATGTGGTTTATAAAACTAGATTTTTATTGCCTACCGTCGATATAACAAATAGACTTTTTTTAATTTTAATGGTATTAATGATTTGTTATCTGCAAGCTTTAAGCTTTAGCTCCGTTTAAAATGCACTTCAAATACTCCAACATTACCAGAAAATAATTTCTATTCACAGTACAGGGGTAAGTGAAAGTTGTGTGTTGCCCGCACCAGATTTTTATATTAAGGCTGGCAACTTATTTAATTTATAATAAATTATAAATGGGAAATGTATGATGCTAAATTTATAATAAATGCGCATAAGAATAAATGTTTTGGCCATGGTCTATACATCGTAAAGCTGCTTTCAGACTATACATCGTCTAACTACAGGTCTATACATCGTAAAACTGAAGGAACCTTAACCCCCTCGCACCAACAGAAGAGTAGGCAAGCATCGATTCAGAGATAGGCTTTACTTCGGATAAATAGAGCCCACGGGCGGATCTACGGGGAGGGGGAGGGCTTTCGGGCTGAAGCCCCCCCCAAATGGTAAAATATAATCATGTTTTATGGAAAAAAATATTAAAAAATTATCTCTTAAAGTATTATTGTTCGTGTAATTACATTTAAAAGGACTTAAGGAATCACTTAAACACCATTTCATATGGATAGCTAATTTTTTTCTTTTTTTCCAAAGTAAATATCGTCATTATTATGAAAAAAAAAAAGCTTCGGGCTGAAGCCCCCCCAAAATTAAATCCTGGATCCGCTAGTGCTATAGCCTATAGAACGACATCTCATGAGGCAGTGCAAGTACTGGCAGGGGGGACACCTCTCGATTTCCTCCTGCGAGATGACTATTACCTCTTTAAAATGAAAAGAGAAGGTTCGGCGGATCTGCCGGAACATCTTAAGATGAGAATTGAAGAAGACCAAGGAACCGGCGATGGATGGCAACTCCGAAGGGAGCTACCCTAAGAAAGTACTTCCCCACGGTCAAGTCACGATTAGATGCAAGATGGGTCTTCCCGGATTACTGAGTGTCTCAACTCCTCACGGGACATGGGGGCTACCGAGCGAAGCTCATTAAACACGGGAACTGCAAGGTTCCGGAGACCGCCGAACATGTGGTCGTCGAATGCACTGCCTATCAGGCACTAAGAGCTAAGCTCCTGAGAGAGACGGGGATATATAGGCTGACAGAGAGCTTGTTTCCCCAGCTAATGAGCATAGAGAATTACCCACATTATAGGGAGTTCGTATAAGGGTGGAAAGATGCGGCAGACCCTACACATTTTAATCTGGGAAAAAGAGAAGGAAGCTAAGACAAGCTGCAGCTGCTTCGAGGAGCGGCTTCATGTGGAAGAATGGAGAAGTGGGGTTTGTGGGCTTGTGCACACAAACAAGTCTACACCTCATAAGTAATAATGTTAATAAAAATTTTAATTAAATAGACCTATACTGCCAGCAGTGGAATATGTATATTGCTTCTATAACCCGTATTGCCTATAAGGCAAGGCAGTGAGAAGGAAAAAAATAAAGACTACTTACCTACAAGAGTTTAATGTTATTTCGAGCTTTCTCATACTTTTCCCATTTATCTTGGCCATACACTGGAATTTAGAGATACCGAAAATATTTCAAAACATCTTATACCTATTTTATTATTTTTCTTTTTAGGTTACGATTAATAATGGCAATAAGTGATAAGTCTGGAAAAATTATAGTTATTTCAAAATATATGTAGTCCTTAGGTTTGTCAAATTTCAAAACTATTTCCAAATATTTCAGGAAAATTGTTTAAATTGAGTAAATTTATAGATATGTGTTAAAGTATTTACTGAACAAAGATGAAGAATTATAAATATCCCAATTTTGATAATAGTTAGTAAAATTATCTATTGTTTTTCTAAGAGAATTAGTTTGTAATGATATTTTTAAAATGCGCTCCAATTTCATTCTCCTACATTCAGCCAATGAAAATCTGCTGATCAGCTGATTGCCTTTAAGTTCCACGATGGCCACTACCGGTGTAAACAGTGAAAGTGATGTCAAAATGTCTGAAAAGGATGATAATAAGGTAATCTCCGAATTGTAAAACATTATGTTTTACATACATTTCCTGTTTATACGTTAAAAGATCGTTTAGTATTCTGTGATTAAATACCCTAAAATTAATAAAATGAATTCTGATTTAAATCGTTTTATTGACTCTGAAGGTTGTTTTCAAGAAAATAAAGTTCCAATGGACCTTATATTCCTTACAGGAATTCGAAGAGCCTATTTCATGTATTAGGATTATGCTAAAAGTGTTCCTATGAGAATCAATGTTGTCAAGAACACCATTGTTTTACCAATTTGAATTAAATCTTAACCTTATTACAGAAAGGACCAGTTACTGAAATTGAATTTCAAGTTTCTCAAGTGATAAATCGTTTGGAAGAAGCCGTAATCGGAAAGAATTATTCACAAGATAATTCTGGTGCAAGTGTGTCATCTTTGAATGTTGAAAGTTTATCAGAAACACAACCAAAATCTGTGCTTCAACAACTTGAGGTAGTAAAGACATAATTATCTTACAGTTTTAATTTTTTTTTTGTTAGTTAAATTTTCTAAACTAGGAGGTTTTAACAAAACATGTATTGTTTTAATCAGTGAATGTAAAATTGAAGAAATAATGGACTGCCATAATATACTGTTATCTCTTATTCAATGGCTTGTCTTTCTTGATAGATTTTTTTAGTGGCTCAATCCTATTTTTGTTTCATCATTTACTATATATGTGGCGATACGTGTTTTTTTTTTTTTTATATCTCTTTCCTGTTAGACTAATTTTTCATGCCAACATGAATTATCCTTATCTCTTTTATCACCTGTTTCCTTTTATGTTCCTTCTGAAAAATAAATTCAAAGCGGTCATTTTAATACAAAAGTTAACAACACCGTTTTAGTAATAGGCAGTATTCTTATTTAAGGTGTTTTATTATAGTGTCTTACGTGATATTTTTGATTTGAAATACCTATAATAACATTTACTTCACTAAAAACTTAGACCTAAATTTTTAGACATTGGCATGCAGTATTTGTTTAATTTGAAAGAGTAAATTTGTGAGGCATTCATTTTAATTAGGGCTTTGTTTGTTATGGAAATAGAGTTCAATATTTGAATTTTTAATTAACTAACTACTTTAATTGTGAGGTAATTTATGACATTATTTCTACAATGTCTTCAAACTGAATATTTTATTATTTTAGTTTGACCATTTCTCTTACTGTTGAACGATTTATATTTATTTAAATAATTAGTAGCAGCAAATCAATAGTTTTCCTTATCCCTTTATTTTTTACAATTTTAACATGTGTTTCCGGAAACTTTTCATTTCTATATAATGTTCAATATTTGTACAGTTTGTTGGTTTTATTGCTATCTCAAGTGTTTTTTACAACCATTTTATCTATTATATTGATTATTCTTCTTTTTGACGTTAGTCATATAATGTCCTCTTAAAATACACTGACATAAATCACAATTTTTATGTGTTTTGAAGTTACTCCTGTTTATTACAGGCCGCAAAGATGTTTTCGTCATACTATTTTATGGTTATTGACTGTTGTCATTGATAAAGAAGAATTACTTAAAACTTTCTTTAAATTTTATTATTTAATGTAAGGTCACCAGTTAACATTTGTACCTTAGCAACCAGGATACAGATTTGTGTATAGTAAAATTTTATATTTTTGCTTGTGTAATTTTGATCGTGATTCGAAGTATCATTTTGAAGTGTATGAATGATAAACAAGTGAAATTAATTCAAATTTAACTTTCAAATTTCAAAAATCAATAAGACAAATTTATTGATCTTGCCACATTGATTCCATTCGACACATTCTGCAGCTAAAAAATAAAATTAATATATTATTTTGATAATATTTATTATTCATTAGTACCATAGATAAATTATGTTAATTCAAATCAATTAAATCATAAAGTATCAATGTTAATATTGCAATATATATTTATGTAACATAATTATTTAAATAAATATTTTAAAAAAGTAAAGAAAATGTTTTCTATTTTACCAGCCAATTTCTTACCATATATTTAAGAATTTCCATGTTCTTTAGTAACAATATAAGTAGATTAATATTTCATTCAAAAGATATTGGTAGAAAATATTTAAATGAAGATTGAAATTTTAACAAAAGTTTTTACTTAAATTCCCTGTTATTATGAGCTTTGATTATTTTCTGCTTACAATTTTGTTATTGGTTTTCATAATGTGGCAGTTTAAACATTTATGGGTATAGTATAGTGAAAAAATAAATAAAATATACTTATTTGAAAGGTCATTTAATCTTTGACTCAAGTTTAATAAAAAATTGTAGAATGTGTATTATTTCCCTTCTGCTGAATGTTCTAAAACTAACTCTTAATTAATTATTACAGTATATAAGTACTGATTTAACCCACTGAGAACTTTCACATTAGTTACCTATCCTTCTCCCTTATGCATTCGAAGTATATGTGAATCAGCGTATTAGTGTTTTATTAGTGTATACGACATAATATTATCATACCACAACTCCAACCATTGAAATTACAATTTACTTAATAAATGATTAGCTTGTCCCTCTGGAAAATATCCATCCAGTTTAATAATTAAGCAATTACACACAGCAATTCCCGAAATTATACTCATCTTTATTGTACTAATCCAAGACATACTTCTTGTAAAACTGTTGGTTTTTGAGCTTCAAAATGCAGGACCCATTACTGTTCTTTTGGAACTCAACCGATTCATGATCTCCACTTTAAAATCATTAAAACACAATTTATGCTATCTTGAACAGTCGACTTTTGAATCTCTCAATTTTTTTCAATGACTTTTATCGTAGTTATAGTTCTGTTTTTTTTTTTTTTTTAATTAGAATTTTTCTCATCTCCGTTTAATTCTCTTACTTTTGATAACTTATTCATCTAAATCCATCACCCCTGAGAGCCTGAAAAGGAATCTATAAAACAGTTTGGAAATGTTTCATTCATTTCCAATTTTTTTTCTTCCATTGAAGATACCTGAACCTAGAGATGCGCCTTTTCTGTTAAAAATAGTTAGAGCACTGTCTACAATCAAAACCACCTTTTACTTATTTTTGTATATTTACTGAACTGGTTCTCTTCTGCAAGCCGATATTCAAAATTATTCTTTAAACTTGCCTTTTTTTTAGTCTGTTTTATAATTTTCTATTCATACTGTGGTTTAGTTTAATTTAATTTTAGCTGTTTTATGCCTAATAAAATTAAGTGTTCTCTAAACCATATTAAATGATTACATTAAAGTATTAATCTTTTCTGTTTCAGTACTATTAGGTCCTGGTATTGCTATTATAATAATTATTGCTACAGGAAGTAATATCAATAATTTTTATGTTTATTGTTTAACTATATAATAAAATTATACTTTTTAAAATAATTAACAATAATATTTTTGATTTATTTAAAAATAGATTAAGAAAATAATTTAAGGTTGTGGGTATACTGTACTGTTTTAAATTATGGTTTATCTCAATAAAGAGTTAACCTTTTCTTTTCAGGTAATGTTTTTTGTATAATTTTGTCATATTTTGACTGTGTAATATTCCATTGAAGTATTGAGTACATTTTTTTCATTTATTTATCCAGGATTTATTAGTCCATGACAGTGAGAATGAAGTAGAGTATACCGCACTACCAGAGCTATGTGAAGCTAGCAGGTTGTCTATAATTAGTCATGCCATAGCTGCTTATTCAGGTTCTTTAGAACGGAATCATATCGCTCATCTTTCCAGCAAAATTTCAAACACAGTCGATTGTTTGATTGCTGATTTGTTCAGGTACATAATTTTATACTTCTTTTATATTAAATATCTTGTTTTGTTTTTTTATTTCTTGTTTAAATATATCTCTATCTGCAGGTGTGAAAATTATAAAGTTTGCTACCATGACGATCAGCTTGGTGGAATTGTCAGAGTAGTCCGTGCTTTGCTGAATGCTAAAGTTCCTCATTTTTCTGAACTTGGATATGAAGCTTTAAAAAAACTTCCGGTTATTTATACAAGCATAATTTCACCAGTTGGCATAGTTCAATTTATATGCAATCAAGTAAGACTATTTATTTGATTCCTTATTCATTATTTGATAAGCATTGGTCAGTAGGACTATGACTTTACTGGTGGTCATATTTTTATATTTTCAGTGAAACTATTTATGTTTAGCCATTCAGTCTAAACTTCCAAACAATTAAAATTATTGAGACAGATTCTGGACTGCTACTTGCAATGTTTTGGTGTGTAGTTAATTTTACCAAATATACTGGATTTATTCCTTATGTTTTAAAATCTGTATCTTCTAATCATTCTGCCATGTATATAGTAACCAGTTGGCAGTTTCTCCTCCTAATTTGTTCTAGTTGTCGAATTATCAGCTGTTTTAACAAATTTTTGACCCAGTCTAAAGTAAGTTCTTAAAAAAATTGAAATTACTGATTAACTTATGATTGCTGTAAATTAAAAAAAAAAGATCTGGTGCACGCATCACACAACTTTCACTTACAGCTCTACTTTAGGCTATTACAAAAAAAAATTAAGTGCATTTTTAACTGGGTTAAAACTTTAAACCTTACAGCTAACAAATCATTAAGGCCATTAAAATAACAAAAACCCTATTTATTATATTGACTGTAGAAAATAAAAACCTCATAACAACATCTGTTTTTGTAAACCACACAACGCCAGGTTGTGAGCTATATGCATAGAGAGATTTGAATTTACATCTGCATATTTCGTCGGCACCAAATTAAAGTAACGAGTGTGAAACGTTAGGTAGGTTAACAGTCGTTACTTTAATATGGTGCTGAAGATTAAACCAATAAATTATTATGGATTGTACTTCTATTAGTTATTAAACTCTTATTTTCAATTGTAATGTTTACTAAAATGGAGTAATGGAATTTTCATTGCCTACTATTTATAGGTCAAAAGTTACTACACTAATTTCAAGTGGATATTGTGATTTTACAAAGGGAAAATATGTCAAATTATTGATTAATTTAATTTTCTAAAATGTTACATGATGAACTTTCAAAATAAACCGACAATAGATATCTAATTATTTAATATAATATTGGATCTAGGGCTGGTTGCACCGACCGTTGTTAATTTTAATTTTACTAATCTTGATTAGTTTAACACTGGCTAACAGAATTTCCGTTGCACTAATGTACATTAGGCTTAGCACCGCATTAAGTTAACACAACAAACTAATCCAACATTAGACATTGATCAAATATTTAAATGATATTAAAATGTAACCTTACATACGGTTACTTTTTTTTTTTTTTTGTTGCTGTAAAATTCTGTATTGAGATATATTACAATCTGCCACTTTCAAGGACAATAGTAATAGTGATATAGAGTAGCTCATTCATACTATGCACAATAAATAAAAATAAATAAACAGCAATATAATACTAAAAGTAAATCTATATAAACTATATGATCCTAAACTAAACAAAAATAAACTAATCTAACAAAATACTTATTTAAATACACACATGATTTTACACAATATTTACAATATTCATTCACTCAATATCTTCGAGTAGGCTAGGGCCTTTCCCCACTCTTGTGGAGGGACTCTAGGATATCCCAACATCTTTCACTCAGCCGTATCACTGGTATTAAGGATAATAGTAATAGTGATAAAGAGTAGCTCGTTCATACTATGCACAATAAATAAAAATAAATAAACAGCAATATAATACTAAAAGTAATTCTATATAAATTATATAATCCTAAACTAAAATAATAATAAATAGTGTTTTGTTTGAACTGTTAATAGTTTTATAGTCTATTAAAAGTAATAATAATAATAAAAGGCTTGGCGAACCCGAAGGTTCAATGCCGACACCACCAATCTCTTATTACACACATCCCTCCGCCGTTCGCTGTCCAAACCTATTCCCTTCAGATTGGCTTTAATGCAGTCTTTCCACTTTTGCTTCAGTCTACTCCCTCGGACTTTTACCATTCGGTACAGCAAATATTAACCTTTTAGGAATTCTCTCGTTATTAAGCCCACCTATTTTACAAGCCCATTCGATTCGCCGGGATGAAATCACCTCAATTATATTACCTGGATACAGTTCACGCAATTCGGCGTTGTGTAACTGTCTGAACTCAAGGGTTAATTCATCCTTCGGTCCGAATATTCTACGCAATACTTTATTTTCAAAAACCTTAAGACGATGCTCATCCCTTAATGTAAGTGGACACATTTCGCATCCATAAAGAACTGTAGGTAGGACGATGGTTTTATAGATTCTATTTTTTAAGTTCCGGGACAAGAGGCACGAGCTAAGTAATTTTGCCACAGAAAAATAACAAGCATTTCCCGCCTTCAGTCTAACCTTAATCTCTTCTTCAATTTCGTTTTTTCTAGTTATCGTAGACCCTAGGTACCTAAACTTCTCTACCTGTTCAAACATATTACCACCTATATTGATATCCCCAGTAATATCGTCATTTATCCAGCTAACCATACATATATTTTATCTTATTCGTGTTTATTTTGAGCCCTAGTTCTTTACTGGCTGGCATTCATTAACGTTGTCATATTTAGTGTTATAGTTTCGACGTCTTCGCTTAACAGTACCAGATCATCCACATAGCCCTGCACGGGTGTTGTTCCACCCAGATCCAACCCTTTTTCGGTACGCATTACCTCCGTGCTGGCATGTTCTAATGCCAAATTGAACAGGACACGCGAAAGGGAATCACCCTGTTTTAAACCCGAAGGAACCTCAAACTTTTCGGACAGATTATTACCGATTCTAACTTTATTGAGTGTTTCCGTCAAGCACATCCTTACTAGATTTACTAATTTTTTTGGAATTCCCTGCTCGATTAGAATATTATACAGTTTCTTGCTGTCAATAGAATCGTTAGCCTTTTTGAAATCGATATACAGCTGGTGAACAACACCATTGGACTCTAATTTTTTCTCTAACATTTGATCAATAGTCGAACGATTCCGTCTAAATCCGCATTGGTAATTTCCAATAATTTCTTCGTCCTATTCCGTGATTCTACTTGTTAAGATTAAAGTGAATATTTTATAACATACCGGAAGGAGTGAAATTCCTCGATAGTTATTACAATCCGTCCTCGGGCCCTTTTTGTGAATCGGAATAAGAATAGATTCTTTCCATTCTTCAGGTAATTTCTCATTCTCCCTGATCTTTTTAACCAACCAATGTATTTTAAAAACTCCAGGCTCCCCGTATTCTTAATTAGTTCAGTAGAAATATTATCAGTTCCCGCTGCTTTATAAGATTTAAATTTTCCGATAGCTACTTCAACTTCCTCTTTACTCGTTTTTTCTATTAACGGTTCCGTACTCTGGTACTCAGAAGGAGGACACAGATCATAATTTCTCATATTTAAAATATTGTCAAAGTGGTTCTTAAACTTATTTAATATATCAACCGGATCGGTCAGAATATTGTTATTTTCATCCGTAATTCCAGACGTTACGGGCCCTAAACATTTACGTGATCTGTTTATACCTTGTACATGTCTCTTACGTTATTTTCGATTCTATTAGTTTCTATTTCAATTATTTTATTTTTATGAGAAGGGGTTAGTCAGGGGTGCGGTCAAATAAATACTAAATTAAAATATAGTAATTCTTTTAATTTTTGCTGACGTTTCGACCCACTTTGCAGGTCGTCTTCAGGGCTACAAAAGATACAAAACATGTTGAAAATAAAAAATAAATATAAGTAGGTATAAAATAAGAAGTTGTCAGATACAGAAATAAAAGATGATATCAGAGATATAGTGGGTGACAATGTAGTTAAATATTAAGTATCGACGTGACGAAACGTCGGCAAAAATTAAAAGAATTGCTATATTTTAATTTAGTATTTATTTGACCGCACCCCTGACTTCTCATTTTATATCAACGGTCAACCGTCTCTACATCATTATTTTATTTTTAGGATACTCCCTGTTTTTTATTTTTGAGCAATTTCGTCATTTCGATCTTTGAAGTTCGGAATTATTCCAGATTGCCTTCGCTAGGATTATTTAGAGCTTTTAATTTAGCGCGTTTTCTTTTTTCGCACATGTTTAAGGAATCTTCATTAAACCACGTTTTATTATTCTTATCCTAGACACGAGTTACCGACCGCTTTAATATTATCCCTGATCTCTACCCATAACTTGTCAATATTCATCAGAAAGCTCTAAAGCTTCAAACCTGTTCTTAACATCTAACTCGAATTGGGTTCTAGTTGATGGATCTTTTAATTTTTTCCAAATCAAAATTCTCAAAATCGAAAGGGTTTTCTTTTCTCTTTTTTATATTAAATCTTTGTCGAAGCTTCGCGATTACTAACTCATGATCCGACCCACATTCTGCTCCGCGATAAGACCGTACGTTAATTATATTGCTTTGCCTGCTATGTTGTAACAAGACATGATCAGTTTTATTTTGTGTTTGTGAATCCGGTGATGTCCAAGTATATTTATGAATATTCTTATGTTTAAATGTAGTACTTTTAATTATCAGATTTTTCGATTGTCAAAGTTTATCAGACGGATCCCATTATCATTACTATATTCGAGCAAACTTTCTTTTCCAATCGTCGGAACATAAACTTCCTTCCGACCTTTGCGTTCGCGTCATCTACAATTATTTTCATTGAGTTTCGCGCTAGTTTATCATAAACCCATTTGAGTTTACCATAAAATTCGCATTTGACTTCATCGTCACTATCTTCGGTCGGGCAATGTATGTTTATTAATGTGATTTTAAACCAAAGTCACTCTAATATGGCCACTGAAATTCTATCACTAAAGAATTGTACGTCCCTCAAAGCAGATAGCAATCTATTCCTAATTAGAAATCCGGTACCTAAACAATGTTTCCCGCTTCTTCCGTACCAAATAGTGTACTTTCCTTCCTTCATCGAACCCTCCCTAGGCCAGCGAACCTCTTGCAGAGCCACAACATCCAAATTGTGCCCGTTAACCTCATTCATGATCGATTTTAATCTCCCTGCTGTGTTTAAACTCCTTATGTTCCACGTACTAATATTTAAATCCCTATTTTTCAACTTGCACCATGAATCCTCTAAAGCAGTCCCCACCTGGAGACACGAATGGGGGACTAGTTTACCTCCGGATAATGAGTGTTTTACCCTAAGGAGATACATGACTATTTGTGGTGTATGGTGAACTAAAGATATGTGAGTAGGGAGTTCAATCGTATGTCACACCCTCCAGCAAGTCTGTTGTTCAGCGAGTCCATCGGTCTTAGACGGGAGGAACTCCCAAGGAATTTCCACCGACCATCCCCACATCCGCCACCCGTAGGACGCTCCCCATACGCGGTAATGACCCCGCACGAGACTATTAAAAGTAAATAAGAATTAAATATGTCTTTACAAGATTATGTTTAGACATATTTTAGCTGTATTTGAATTTCCATTCCTTTGATCATTCAGTCTATACAGAATGAAATAAAATAAATAAATATATATATTCAAGAAATTGACTATGTGGAGTAATGTTAGATGTAGTTGATATTCACTGTACGGCAAAGTGTAGAGTTATATTCTTAAACTAACTGATTGATACTACCTAGCAGTTAGTTTAAGAACTTAACCTTATGTTGATAAAATTGATGTAGTTACAACAAGCAACACCTCACATAAAAAAAAAGTGTTGGTGTGGTTGTATATAACATTCCTAGTATATATTAGTTACTATCCTAAGCTTTGAGAATATGGTGATTTATTCTAATTTTTTTTTTAGCTTGGGCTCCCTTTGCGATGTGTGAACGCAATTCCTTGCAATACCTTATTCGGATCGCAGAAGATGGACCTAGCTGCTCTGGAGAGAGAAATTGAAGCAGATAAAGAAAACAACAAGTTGCCATTGATTGTTCTAGCTGATGCTGGTAAAGAATCATGTTTTAAAATATATTATTATAATATTTTTCAGATGGTTTTGATAAATAACAACAACAATTTTAATAATTCATTAATTATTATTATTAATAGTTTAAAATTTATATTATTATTTTATACTACAATCCTTACTAAAGACTTTGTTTACACAAATACAATTACTTTTGATCACTACACAACATATGTATATGTGACATAAATTCACAGACACTACGAAACACTGGTAAGGAAACCTTGACCTTATCACTGGTGAGGTGTATATACAAATAAGGTAACTTATACTTTGAAATTAATGATATCAGGCATTACAGACCATGTAGATCTTTTGCCGACTTAACAAGTCTGCTCCATCTTTGCCTGTCTTGGGCTATTTTTTTCCATTTCAGCATGCAGCTCTGTTGCATCTTTGTTGAACGTGTTATTTTGCCTTCTATTGAGGCATTCCTTGTTACTTAGAGGCTTTCAGATGGATTGCTGAGAGCTACAGGTCCAACCTTAGTTTTCTTATTATATTTTAGTTATTAAAATGAAAAGAAATAAGTTGAATTATCTTTTTAAACACAAGTTATTTAGCTTTACATATTTCAAAAATTATTTTATTTGATTCCAATCGGAGATTTCGTATGGTCAGGAATACGTCAGAAATTCACTTTCAATTTTTGCAAAAGATGTCATTACTTCTATATAAATTTTAATATAATGCTTAAATTATTGTAAATTGTGGGTTAGCTAATTTTTTAATTTATATAAGAATGAGAAAGACTTCTTATACCAGAGTTTTGCTGCACAGAAACAAACACATATGTACTGCTTAGCATACAGTGCAGTAATATTTAAGGTTTTACATATTTTTTATTACTGATGCATTGATTTTGGCTGTATTATTTTTAAACATGAGTTTATAATCAACTTTTAAAAATAGATTAACCTCCCTCAAAATTTGAATCTTAAAAATTTCAGATACATTATAGAATAAAAAAAAAAGTTTAATATACCCCACTATCCATCTTCACGGTTTTTCTTTAGGACTACTGGGGCTCTATTTTTCAGTCCCAAAACCACAGGTCATCCCTGGAGGATCTTCTGAACTGAACATTACCATTGACTATTTCATCTTAAAATGGTGATTGATTAGAAATTTTATTGTCTGCCTTTTAAAAACGTTATATCTAATCACTCAAACATACCTTATGTGGTATATTTTAGTGCTCGACATATGATGTCGTATTTTATAAAGTCTCCATCTCATGACAAGGAAGCATGGAGGTTAAGATGGGCAGGTATATTGCCAAAAACAATCTATTAGAAATTCTACACAACAATGAATGCACAGTAGTTGGCAGGAGACAACATTAGATGCCAAAAACCAGATGGATAGGTAAATTGATATTGCGGAGCTGTATGCAACTAACTGGAAAGCAGTAGTCATCCTAGGTCCGGGAAAACTCCGTATAACCTAAAGGTGAGGAGGGGGAGGACGGAAAAAATATACTACATGACTCATTAAGCCAATTCGGAAATAAATATATTTATTGTAACAATGTGATATGATAAGGGTACACCCATCCTCAACAAAGTGGGTACCCTTCATTATATAATTAATTAAGGGGAAAAACCTGGTGGTTGAGCATGATCGTTGCCCGATCCCCTCCCTGCGCAACCTTGGTCTTGAACAGTACTTTCCCTAAATAGTACTGAACTCAAGACCTTTCATGGGTTGTAGCGGTACAGGTTTTTTACACCGCAATATTGTGATCTCATTGCTCATCTGCTTTCATTAATATATCTTTAAGCTATGTATATGTTTTTATGTTTTAAATGTTTATGTATTAATATAAAAAGTCAAGACTTTTTGTTTACTTTTGATATTTTTTCTTTTTTGGAGGGTTTACTTTTTCTTTCTCAAATATGAAATATTTTTGTTTATTTATTTTTTCCATTACAACTATAAATATTCTTGAAAACATTTTCTCTTATTTTTTAGTTGTTCACATACTATTGATTAAATTATTGTATATATTGTTAAAATCTTTATTAAATTAGTTTTTGGCCAGATATCTATTTTTTCTTTTTTATTATCCTTAGGAGAATTTGTCCCAGAATAAAGTTTATTTTCTATTCTATGCTATTCTATACTGAACTCTCTCTGTTAGAAGTTAGGTAACTACTTTTCACTATTGAACAGTGCAGGTATACAACATACATATGATTCTTTTAATTATTCAAATCTAACATTTTTTTATTTCAGTTTTGTTTTAAATATAAACAAATAAATTGATGAAAATGACCTTTAATTTTTCAATCAACAACTTTGCAGTCCTCACATTATGCTTGAATTTTTTTAAATGATATTTATATTTCTGGATACCTTTTTGTATGAGTTGTGTATTTTCAACAGGTACTCCAGTTTCTGGGCACGTCGATAATTTAACAAGGCTACAAGAGATATGTAAAGCAAGTGGTGTTTGGCTTCATCTCAGAGGACATTCTCTAGCAGCACTTGCTGTACCGTTGTATCCTAATGCAGTAAGTGTTTTTTTAAGAAATGTGAAGCTCTGTGAATGGCATTTCAATACTTAATTTAAGGAATATTAGTAAGGAAAGAAAAATTTATTTTACTCTTCCCCATTCAAGAACTGTATTTATTTGAAAATATATCTTGTAATACACTATAGGTGGGAAACCTTTTTATTATGAGAGGCAATATTAAAGTTAAGCAGCACTAATGGAGGCCCGCTACAATTTTTTTGTATTTTATAATAATAATAATAAAAAGGCTTAGCGAACCCGAAGGTTCGATGCCGACACCACCAATCGCTTATTACACGCCTCCCTCCACCGTTCGCTGTCCAAACCCAGTCCCTTCAGATCGGCTTTAATGCAATCTTCCCACCTTCGCTTTGGTCTACCCCTCAGACGCTTGCCATTCGGCACAGCAAATATTAACCTTTTAGGAATTCTCTCGTTACTAAGTCCAACAACTTTACGATCCAACATTTGATTCGCCACGATGAAATTATCTCAATTATATTACTCTGATACTGTTCACGCAATTCGGCGTTGTGTAACCGTCTGAACTCTCCGGTTAACTCATCCTTCTTCGGTCCGAATATTCTACGCAATACTTTATTTTCAAAAACCTTAAGACGCTGCTCATCCCTTAATGTAAGCGGCCAAGTTTCGCACCCATAAAGAACTGTAGGCAAGATAATTGTTTTATAGATTCTAATTTTTAAGTTTCGGGACAAGAGGCGCGAACTAAGTAGTTTTGTCACAGAAAAATAACAAGTATTTCCCGCCTTCAGTCTAGCCTTAATTTCTTCTTCAATTTCGTTTTTTCTAGTTATCGTAGAACCTAGATACCTAAACTTATCTACCTGTTCAAACATATTACCATCTATATCCATATCACCAGTAGTATCGCCATTTTTGCAGCCAACCATATATTTTGTTTTATCCACGTTTATTTCGAGTCCTAGTTTTTTACCGGCTTTCATTTTGTATTTTAGTGTTGCTATTTTATTTATCACTAAATACATACACCCATTTACATTTAATCAAATTCTATCAATTTTAAAATTGTCGTAACCTAAATAACTAAATATCAACTAATTCTAGGACTGGATTAATAAAAATCGCTCAAAAATGTTTAGAAGTCACAGCTATCTACCTACCTAGAGACTTTAGGTTTCCCACCTATGTAATATACCATGCTATAAATGCTTTTGAAACCTATAATAATTTAATGAAATTTTGCTTATCACTTGTCACAATTTTTCTGCAATGATTGAAATATTTTTAATATTGCCATATTTTTCAGACAGGACATATTTCTGACAGCATGACACTGCCTTTGGGAATATGGCTTGGTATTCCAGGATTACCAACTGCTGTATCCTTTTTTTTCTGTTTAAAATTGTAATGTTATTGAAATCATTACATTTTTCACCTTGGAATGTATTTTTTAAATGTGGTTTTGATGAAGAACAGCAATAATGAATTTAGCCGTTTATTAATTATCATTACTAATAAATTACAATTTAAATTATGTCCTATTACGATCCTTACTTAAGACCTGGTGGTATACACTAATATAATTACAATTGATCACTTCACAATTTACGTAAAATAAAATAAAACATAGACACTATATGACACTTGTTTTATTTAACAATGTAAACTTAAGACTTATTTCAAATTTTCGTAACCTAAATATCAACTAATTCTAGGGCTAGATTTATAAAAATCGCTCAAAAAGTTTGAAAGTTGCAGCTATCTACCTACTAAGGCATGCTTCACAATGAGCAATCTTCGTAAAGAGCTAAGTTCTAACTAATCATGTTTCATGCCTAGACTATTAAATTCTTCTGATGTTCTTGATTCTTCTGTTTTCAGTGATGTGTAGAGATTGTCGTACATTCGATATTTTTAAAAACTACAATTTTTACATTATTATGATTACTAAAAAAACAAATGTAGCAAATTAATATTTTTCTGTAAAAGTACATAATGTCATTACAATGTCTTATAACAAATGTGTTGAAAAGTTACTCAAAAACTGAACTCCCAATAACGTATTCAAACTTAAGTTCCTGCTTAATAATTCAATTGTTTAATTATTTTATGCAAAAGGATGTTCCATGTAATAAGTGCAGTTAAAACAGAACCTAAAGGAAAAAGAGATCAAATGAGGAGTTACCAATCATAGCAATGTTTATTAAATATTCATAGTTAAAATAAGCTTTTGTCAGCTAAAAGTTCACTATCATTGTCAAAACTTTTTCACGGCACTTTTTAACTGGATTCATTCAGAAATTGCTCGGAAATGCATTTTTTTTGTTGGGAGGCTTAGAAATTATTTCTTGCTATCAGACGCTTCACATAAACCTAATTGTCTATGTTAATGAGGATGTAATAAATTTCCTTTTTTTGTATTTTAAGAATCCTGAATATAACCAATAGGTAAATGGATTAAAGATATAAAATCCTGATTTTAAGATTAAGTAGATTATAAAGATTTTGTAGAATGTAAGAAAAGTAAGATTAATCAAACCCTTTAAATCATTAATTATGGTTTTATTAATTAAGATACTAATTTTTAATAAGTACTTAATTTTTGATTTAGTGGAGAGTAATAACAATATTGTTCAAGTTATAATAAAATTTTAATTAAGTTCATTTACCTTATTAAAAGGAAGCATTGTGGAAATTTATCATTTATTTACTTTTTCCTTAACAACCACCGTAGACTGTTTATAACCATGAATTGTTAGTGTCTGTTTCTCCCAGTCTACTGGACACGCCTGGACGAAAATTAATCTCGCTCCCATTGTGGTCAACTTTTCAGGTATATTATTTAATTCAAAAAATTAAACTTCTTATTTAATTCAGTCACCAGTTAAATTTCACCTGGACACAGTTTCATAGTTAATGATATTTTATTATATTTTATAGTAATATTTTTTAATCTAGCCCCTCAGTGGCATAGAAAAGTTTTCTAATTTTTCCATTTCCAATTCCAAGTTTTCCATTTTGAGATCCTTTAGAAACTTCTAGGGTTTTTTTTTTTTTAGGTTATGAGAATGATAAATAGTCTGGATTTTCAGTGTAATTTGTTTTATTGAAGGAAGTTAGTCAACTATTCTACATGTCATGGGTGATAAATATCCAGGACAATCTTTTTTTGAAAAAAATTAAATTTTTTAATCATGCCAACGTTTCAACCCAAACATGTGGGTCATCTTCAGGGCTGAAATTTTTTAAAAATACAATCAGAGGTATAATATTATATGATCGATAATGAACTAATATTACTACAAGTAAATAATAAACTTACTTGAACTTGGTACTTGAACACCCTCAGTGCTCAAACCATGGTTAGTAAGAGAAAATATTACAAATTTGTATAAATGGTTTTTATACATTAGTTTTTAATTTTTAGTTTGTATAACTATTTACATATTTCATTTTTAATATGTGTATAGCAATATTAGTTAAGATTCACCTACCATCAATCACTATAGTTTATTATTTACCATTATCAATCGTATAATATTATATCTCTGATTGTATTTTTAAAAATTTTCAGCCCTGAAGATGAACCACATGTTTGGGTTGATACGTTGGCATAAATAAGAAATTAAAATTTTTTTAAAAAAAGACTGCGTCCTGAATATTTATCACCCATGTAATTTGTTTTATTCAGTTTTCCGTCCAAGCATTACATAAGTAATATTCAAAATTACAAAAAAATATTATTTATAGAGGGAAGTACGCAAATAAGCCAAGAGAAAGGGATAAATAATATACATGAGATAATATTAACATAAAAGTACACCAAAATAGAAAAAACAAAGAAATTAAATAGTACAAATAAATTAAATAAGAAGAATGCATATAACAACTTGTTATAGGCTTATCAAGGAAAATGTGTTGGTGCATCTGTAAGCAGAAGCATTGTTGAAAAATAGTATATGGAGTTTGATAAACATTTATATCTACTTAATCAATTTTTTTCACCAATTCCAAACTCCTCTTCAACTTTAGGCCTTATTGAATGTGGGTTTTTTGATGTAGAGATGTAGCAAGGATAATATTGAAATAATGTAGTGTTTTCGGGCAGATTGTTTTGTTTAAAAGTTATGAGAGAAGTAAACTGAAAAAAGTCCCAAATTTTTAGGTTTTTTTGGTAGTCCTGAAGTTTTTAGAGGGTTCTCAAATTGTTGAATTTGTATTCTGCACCACATTAGACCCACTAACTTTATTAAAATATCATTAATTTTGGCATCATGTCCAGGTACTCCAATTTTGAGAAAAGGATTACTTCTTTAATTAATCTATCGTTTTATTTTACTTGTTGAGTCATTCAAGATTTTTATATTTATTGGTTTGTTTTAATCTTTAAGTGTCTGGGAAAAGAAGAAGTTAGAAAGAGGTTTCAGCGTGCTTTTGATTGGTGCCAGCAACTATGGTTGAGGATAGAAAAATATCCTAATATCAGACTTCTAGTAAGAACATTTTAAATGATAGCTTTATTATTATTAATCCAGTGTTTTTATTAATTCATCATATGTTTTTAGAGCCAACCGCCTGGTGGGGAAGGAGGTATTATTACCGTTTCGGAACTTGCAACAAAACCTGTGAATGCAAATGTAAAAGAAAGAGTCATAATTTTTTTTCTTTGTTTATGATACATTATATTTAGCGAATTAAATTATTGTGTAATTTTTGTTTTGTATAGATATTATTTGAAGTTGCTGCATCTACTGTAGTTTTCCAGTTCATTCCAGAAAATCATCAAGGAAGAGTCCCTCCTTACTATGATAAATTGAATTCCTGGGTATAATATATTTATAATTTTCTGGATTTTGTTACTATTTATTGCAGATCTTGAATTTGTTTTATTAATAAATTATGTCTTATTGTAGCTTGGTCAGATACTTCAAAGGGATTGTCCTCTTGTCAATATAACTCTTTGTGAAGTTGAGAATAACGAAGTGGTTCTACGATATTGTCCTTTGGAACCACAACCAGGCGTTCACGAACCTCCTGATTTCGAATCATTTGTAGCTTGCTTAGAACAGCAGATTGTGAGTAAATTTATTATTATAACTAATTATTTTCGTGAGTTGTTACTGAGAAGGTAATTTGATTAGGAACAGAAAATCAAACTTTATTTGTGATTTTTAAAACTAAATTATAGCCATAAAAAGAAGAATTTTTAAATTTAGAAAACAAAACAAGTAAATTTCTTAAATAACTATATATATATTTAAATTTAAATTTCAGAAATAAGAAAATATTAATCACATTGTCTTATGAGCAGCTGTGTAGATTCATATAAATTGTTAATAGTTCATAATTTAATGAATTATTCATAATTCTTTGATAATTTTTGTTTTCCTATTCTCCTTGGATACTTCCAAACTATACATTTACACCCATCCCTTAATTTGCTCTAAAAAAATATCTCATAAACTAAAATCATGTAAATGGAAGACTTGTCTTTTATTTGTTTAGAAGCTTTTTTTCTCTATGTTTCCATGTGTCTACTTTTTTTTTTTTTTTTCGTTAATTAGTTCATAAGAAATAACCAATCGGGACCAAACGGTTAAAGTGGTATGGCCACTTAATGCGGATAGATGAGAACCGCTGGCCAAAGAAAATGTATACCTATATGCCAGCTGAAAGAAGGAAGCATGGAAGGCCAAAGAAGAAATGGCTAGAGGACGTGGCGCATAGCATGACAGCCAGAGGGCTTCGTGAAGGAGATTGGATGGACAGGGAGCAGTGGCTTTTGGGTGTTGGGGATATGACTCTTTAAGTTGTATAAAATCCAAATAAAAAAAATAAAAAAGAAATAACCAATCCAATCCAAAAGGCTTGTAAAAAAAATTAATAGAATCATATAGATATAATCCTACGTACCTTTAAAAAAAGCGTTATAGATCAAAAATTAAACTTATGAGTGAACTGTACAAAAAACTAAATGTCCTCTAACTATTAGCTCTTGAGACGAACTAATCATTTGAGGACATTGGACATTTAAACTATTAATGTATACACTAGCATGATTTTTTTCGCTCTGCTTACTCAAGTTTCTTAGTTTTGTACATTAGTCCCTTTCGTTCTGAGGTATAGCTATAGTACATATTTACCTAAATATACATATAAAATAATACTTATGTGTATACATATTCAATATCTTCTTCGTCAATAGCTCTACAGCTCGGGGTGGGCCTTGGCTTCCTGAACAATAGCTCTCCAGATGTCCCTAGCCTCTTCTTTCCAGTTTGTAACTCTTAACCACCTAAGGTCATCCTCCAACCACCTTCTTCTCTCCTTCTTCCCCTTCCTCTGACACCATAAATTCTTTCTTGGAGCACCTTTTTTGGGATTCTCTTATCTGGCATGCTAAGAATGTGCCCCAGCCATTCGATCCTCTGTGATTTTATAAAGCTCACAATTTCACTATGATTGAATTAATCATATAGCTCTTTATAGGTTCTAATCCTCCATTCTTGAGTTGTTTCATCGTACAAGGAATCAAATATTTTTCTCAGGGTTTTGTTCTCGGATATCCTTAACGAATTTCCCATGGTGGTAGTAATCGTCCATGTTTCAGCTGTGTGAGTAAGCATGGGTCATATTAAGGTAGTGTATAGCCATATTTTCGTATTCCTTGATATCAAGGATGATTTAATAAGCTTGAAATACACGCGGTTAGCAGCCATTATCCTTCTGTGCACCTCAGTCATAATTCTGTTTTCATTATTTATTTCTGCCTCTAGATAGGTAAAGGTATTGACGATTTCAAAAACGTGTCCTTCCACCACAAGGTTATGGGAATTTCTTGGATTTTCTGAACCAATGGACTAATACTTCATTTTTAAATAATTTATTTCAAGACCCGTAATTTTACTTTCAGCATATTAAAAATTTCAGTAAGGGTTTGAACACTTCTGGCAACAAGAGCTATATCATCTGCATATGCACAGATTTGAATGCTTGAATGAAATATATTTCCTTGCGTAGTTATTCTATTAACTACCTTATGTAATGCTAGGTTGAAGAGAGTGGTGGACAGAGCATCTCCTAAATCAGGTGATATTGTAAATGTATTAATTACACTACCATTGGCAATTACTTTGGCATTGCTATTGCTTAGAGTCATCTGGATAAATCTTATCATCTTTTTCGGAATGTTGTATTCTATTAGTGCTTTAATCAAGTTGGTCCTATTAATGCTGTTGAAGGCTTGGCGATAATCAATGCAAAGAACGTGAATTGTAGTTTTATACTCCCAACACTTTTCTAATATTTGTCTCATTGCAAAAATTTGGTTGAGTGTTCCTTTTCCTTTAAGGAATTCACACTGATATTCTCCTTGAATGTGTTCAGCGTAGATATATAGTTTCTTCAGGATAATATTCGAGAATATTTTGTATGCTACCTCCAAGAGGGATATTTCTATATAATTTCTGCATTCTAGTTTATCTCCTTTTTTAAAGATGGGACAAATCAAACTAGTCTCCCACTCTTGAGGTATGCTTGCATTCATCCATTGTCCAAGATCAAATTATATAGCATAGTGAGTCATAACAATGACAAATGCAAATTTTGATTTATTAATTGTGTTGTAAATTCATTAAGTGCATTTTTGATATAGGTTAACTGACAAATATTTCTTTGTGAATTTCAACATTTTTTATCTATTTAAAAAATGCTGGTGCATGAAAATGGCACACACCCTTTTATTTATCATACATAGTTACGCTAAGAAAACTAGATACATAGTTACACTAGGAAAGAAATTCCTAGGAAACTCCTCGATGAAGAATTACATGGAAAAAGAGCAAGAGGTCACCGTAAATTACGATATGCTGATGGTGTAAATGAAGATTGAAAAACCTTCTCGATATTTGAAGCTGGAGGGCAGCGGCACTTGACTGAATTGGCGAAAGCTCCTTGAGGAGACCAGGATCCAGTGATGGGTTATAGAGCCAATTGATGATGAAGATGATGAGTTACACTGAGGGCACAATTTTCTCATTTCACCAAGGGAAAATTCATCATAGTTCTTGATTATTTAAGGTTATGAAATATCACTTAATGTCTTTTTGCATTCATGAGACGATATACTATGAGAAACAAAAGTTTCAATGCAAATATAAAATTGCTTAGTCTGTCTCAGAAGTTAAAGCATTGGTCAGTCTAGCCTATATTGACAAAATATATTCAGATGATACTTAAATTTAGTTCAGAATTTTAGTTTATATAGCATAATAGATTCATTTATTTTATTTTTATATTTTTGTACTGTGGATAATTATCTTTGATTCTGTTTTATAATTGGTATTAATTATTTTTATAGGAAATTTTAACTGCTACTGTGAAGCACAAAAGTGAATTCCAAAAGCTAGTTGAAGGGTCTCAATGTTTACGACTAGTCGAAATTGAGGGCTGGGCCGGTTTGGGAGGAGTGAGGTACCAGCCGACAGCTTATCAAGACGTACAATTAACGGATTATATTAAAGAACAATTGAATAATCTCAACGTTAGTCTAGTTGAAAGATTGAGAGCTACTGATGCAGCCTTTTCTCTTGGTAAGTGTTTATTTTATTACTTAGATTAATTTCAAAAATAAAAAAAAATTAGATAAAATTGTGGAATGTTCATAGCTAGAATAGTTCACATTTCTTACCCTCCTGGAGATCCATGACACACAATTCTCACTTGTCAATTTTGTATATTATAGGGTATGTGTATGGAAAAAATGTGTGCTGTAATTAGCACTTATGTACCAAGGGACAGCTGTTGGAGGAAATTATTAAATATCAAATAGAATAAAAAAATAAGATGATATCTATTACTAGACCTCCAACACGGTTGTAGGGAAACGAGAGGACAAAAATATGACATATATATACACATATCACACTCTACGTTTCAACCCTACAGTAAAGTAGTGAGAATTAGGTCCTGCTAGATAGGCATTAAAGCAGACGAACTGCAGCTGGAATGAATTAAGGAGAGTAGCTGAATGAACTAGAAGAGATCACATCTGAAACAAACTAATTAGAGAAAAGACGTCAAGGTGCCATCAATGTTGGAAACTGTGCAAAAGAAAATACTGAAATGGTTCGATCATGTTATGAGGATGGACTAAGAAAGACAACCTAGGAAGTTTCTGGAGGCAAGACCAACAGAAAAGATGCCAAGAGGACAACACTGAAAAACATGGATGGATGAAATAACCAATATGGGAGAGAAAAGAGGTAAGGAATATAATACCAAAGGGCCGAGATGGCTGGCATAAGTGTGTCCAGGTTCCTCCACACTGAAGAGCACTGAGGAGGTAGGGAAAAAAAAGAGGAAGAAGAATAGCATTTATGTGATAAAGAAAATATTTAAGATTAAAAGTTTTTTTTTTTTATTAATAAAAAAGGCTTATATTTAGCTAATTAGTGTTATCTCATGGAGATTGGAAGAATGGTGAGCGTGGATTTTATAAAGTTGTTGAAGTTAATCGTGAGTGTCAAAAAACTGTTGACTAAAGGCTTCACACACACACAATGCAATATGTTCCAGCAATTCAATATCCCTTTGTTGATATCACTGCGGATTATCATAGTTTGTGTGACTGATATAATATATAGTACTGCAAGTATAATATCGCCACCAACAAGAATATTTTATCGCCGAGACATATCGCACTCTGTGTGTAGGAGCCTTAATTGTTGTAATTAGTAATATTTTATTTTAAGCTTGACAAATAAATATATATATATGACGTACAGAACTGAGGTTTAAAAAAAAGTTCTATTGTACTTTTGTGATAGATGATGTGATAAAGTTCAGGGTACTTAAAATATTTCTAGCACTGTTTACAGTTGAGAAAAGCATATGTTTACAAACTTAAATAATGTTACTATAGTTTTATAACTTTAGACCTGAGTTGTATATTTTACTCTTGAGGTTTTAATTATTGTCTTATTATTATTTTTAGGTGAAGGTGGCGATGGTTTGGCTTGCGTGAGGTTTGGAATGGTGACTAGTGACACCGACGTGGGAGAACTTTTATCTTTAGTGGAAACTGCAGGTCAAGAGGAAGAAGAAACAGGAAAAGTTCTCGATACAATGGCTGAAGTTGTGAAGCGAGGTAATGTTGTCTTTTTTTTTTCATGTTGTTTAATATTTGAGGGAATTCCATTCTTATCTTTTTTATTCTAACTAAAATTATTGTCATTTATAGAGAACAACTGTTAAATTGTTTCTCTCCTTCGAGAAATACTCAAAGATAATGACATTTTTTTGTTTGTAAATGTAAAATCTAGAATATACACAAATCTGGTAATTGAACAATCCTTAATTTCTAAGTAATAATAAATCTTTCTATTATGTAAAAAAGTTTTTAGTGACTGTGTCATATTTTATTTTACATTTATGAAGCGGAATGGACCATAATGAAGAAACCACACTTCTTATTCCCAGAATGATTTCTCCCTTTATATGGTTACAAATAAGAATAAATGGCTAGAAAAGTAATTATAATTATACAATAAAATAATATAATTAATATAAATTAGCAATAATTTATATTATTTATAATTGATAACCGGAGTGGTCTGGGATGAGAGTGCTAACACATGGAGAAGAAAGACCATTAAATAATTGCTTACAGAAACTGGTCAATCAATACCCCATGATATGAAGGCCAGGAGGTAACAGTTGTATAATTTGTAAAATGGAGATTGATCCGCCATTACATGGCGCGGACATGGGGTACCTCCTTAGTTAACCTAAAAATATATTTTTAACATTATAATAGTGTGACCTAGAACATAATTGTATCAAGACAAATGTATAAAAAGACCAATTAATTACCTTATCTTTTTTTTTTTATTTCTTTATTTTGAACCCTATGAGCTGCAATGCAATAGTTCAAATTTGTTCTACAACCTATGATAAATAGATTGTTTTTATTTAATTTTAAGTTATATAATATTGTTGGTGTTGTTCAGTTATCTTTTTTGATCTCAATTAATTACCATACTATGTATTTTACTTCTACACTATACTTCTACTAAAGTATACTTTAGATAGTAAACTTTATATATTGGGTTATTATTTAAAAGAGTGCAATTGCACAGTGCTTCCATGCTCAAGGTCCCGTTTGTGGCAGATAATGATTTTTCTGTTATAACAGCTGTGGGAGACCCTCACACTCATGATACACCCAGTCTCTTAAATAATTAATTTAGGAAAAAACCTGGTGGTTGAGTGTGATCTCAACGAAATCATCTCCCTCCATAACCATTGATTAAGAAACAGTACTTTCTTACAAAGTACAGAACCGAAGTTTTTTTTTTGACGGGGAGGAGGGGTTGTGAATTAACAAAGTTTTTGAAAAATATTTCAATACAAAGATATGGGTATTGTTTTTAAAATTATCGTTCATTTTTTTTTTCACACAATTTTCAGTCACTTTTCACAATAACATTTTTCAAATATTTTATTTATAGTAACAGTTGTAACCATTTTTCAGTTTATGACCATTAAAATAAACAATTTTGCTGCCTTGTAGGTATAGAAGCAGCCACTTTAGAATTGCAGAGAGAAAGTGATGAACAACTTTGGCAAGAAGGGATATTGCGTGCCGTTCCTGTTGTCGGCTCGATAGTGAATTGGTGGTCCCCTCATCACAAGGGTTCAGGTATCAAAGGTCGAAGCTTGGATCTCACAGCTGGCATAGTTGCCTCTACAGAAAATATTTATAGGTGATATAAAGTGTACTTTTTAGCTATAATAAATATTTATTTTGGTTTAATTTGTTTTTTCTTTTGTTTTGCTGTTAACACGTTAGCTGCTGAGCATGATATCTCCTAAATGTCTTTCCCAATAATATCGGTCCCCGGTGAACGTCACTAGTTATGAAGTTCCTACGGCATCGGAGACATTTTCGAGGTATACCGATATATTTTGACAACAAAGGTTACCTATATTCCCTATTTAGTGTCTCTATCTGTTGATTGTGTCCTCATATCGAAGGAGTGGACTCCGATGCCGTTTACATGACGAGTTTTTCATTATTTCTCTTTATTTCAGTAAAAAAAGTGTTGTCTTTAGGGATAAAAATCTTAAATATTGAAAATGAAATGAGAAAAAGTTTATTACATATAATTGTAATTTCCATGGTATAATTTATACATTATTTGTGTAGTACTTTTTCATTGTTAAGATAAAATGGAATATAAAAAATCGAAGTGACATAATAATTACTATATTGTGGCAATTCAAGAAAAATATAGGTATTTAGGTATTTACTATTACATTGGAATTTATTTTAAGAAAAGGAAAAATGAAAGTAAAGTATCAAGTTGCTAACTGCTTCTGATACTGGTCGGAGTGCGGCAAACATAATTCGCTTATACCACCAGTCCTCAAAAAACTAGCGACTTTCCGTGTTTTCTTATTTGCCTCCTTAATAAAAGAATGGACACTACACATCAAACGTGGTGACTGTGGTTGGCGCTCAGTTGCAAGTTCATCAACCGATCGGAACTTTGTAATTGATATGAGTTTTTCATGTTAAAGATGATCCAAGAATTGATCACCAATTTTCCAAACATTATCTCAATTATCATGCATGTGCACTGTCCTGTCATGGTAGGAATATGTATCGATATTGGAAGGATGATACCGTAGGGAAATAATTTTTTATCAGTCTGGAACAGTATTGTCCCTGGTGTCCTACAGCTTTATATCAGATATAGTGATTATTTACATTTGTATCTTTACATCTACCCAATTCCCATTCAAATATTTTTAAAAATTACCATTTTAGAGACTTCATAAGATAAGCAAAATTCAAAACAATCCCGGCCAAAGTCAAGACGAATATCGGAATCTGGGGACCGTAACAGCAGCTAACGTGTTAAATATTTTAATCTATGCTATGTATAAAACACTAGTATAGACTCCGTTTTTCGCCTCTTAAGAGCGATACATTTTGGTGAAAGAGAAATGAAAATTTGCATTTTTTATAACTTTCTCTTTCTTTTTCTAATAACAAGGTTATCTTGTTTTTGCTTATTTCTGATGAAGACCTAAAACTTAAGCCGAAAAATTACAAAAAAAAATCATTTTTTTTTGCAACTTCACCGACTGCAATCCTAAGCCAACTTGATTACCATACTGGGGTAACTTTATCCCATTCTTTTCTTCTTTTTTTACAGTAAAAAAATGTTAACCTTAAAACAATAAAAATTTGAAATGTCGAGTGCTTTGTATTAATGTAAATATATTTTACTGGATTACAAACCATCTTGAAGTTTACACATTAAACAAATTTTTATTTTCGAGTTTTTCCCTTTTTTACCTATATATGAAATCTATATTGCAAGGGAAAATATTGCAATCGTGAAAATTTTCGAATCTGTGTTTTCAACGGAAATACATCTTTTGAGATCTTCTGAGTCCAAATAAGCAAGTGCTGCTAAATGTTCTGTGTGTGTGTGTAGGTATGTGAACAGTCTAGCTCAAAAACGAAAAGTTGTATGAAAATGAAATTGCATATTTAAGGTTTGTGTACGGTGGGACGTTAAAGCTAACCAGAAGTGGCACTTTATATTATCGATTTTACAAATTTTCTCGAAAACGGCCCTTACGATTCTGATTAAACTCGGTGCATTAATGTATAATTAAGTCATTTTTAATATCATTTAGGTCTCATCCCTATTGATGTCACTTAATAATTAACAGGGCTTTAATAACCAATATTCAAAATGTCTTCTTCAAAAGAACTTTTAATTTGGTTTATTTTAAATAATTAACTATCTCTCATTGTTAGGAGATACGAAAAAAGGCTACTAACTTTTGAAAGAATTTGATAATTGAAGAAAGGATAAAAAAAGAAAAATGATTATCCAGGTCAAAAATGAATCTCTGGAAATAGTAGTCAAAAGGTATACGTATAATATATCATTGGAAAGCGGAAAATTTTAGAAAAATAATATCTAATAAATAAAGTTTTAGAAGGTAACGGAGAGTGACCAAAAATATATAAATAATATTTTCTGAAAACTAACTTTATTCAATGTAAATCACATGTTTTCAAGGAAATTAAATGGAATTTTCTTACTAAATGGAAACTTTTAACATTTTTTTTAAGTTTGAGAAAAAGTATTTAAAATCTACAGAATCAAGACAATGCCATTGTTTAATATACTATTTTATTGTACTTGTTTTATTGATTTATTTATAACCTTAAATACATTTACTGTAGTTTAATAACTCTAGATCTGATATTATATTTGAATAATAAGGTATCTATATCGTTTATTCTGAAAAATCATCATGAAAACTTAAAAAAAATGAAATTAGTGAATAATTTGATGAATTTTCCTTTTGTGATATCCCAACAGTATCCACTTACAATTAGTGTGACAATTTTTGACCTATCTATGACGAGCAATGCAAATCTCGTAATTCACTATTAATAATACATAGTCGTGCAATTCATAATCAACTGTTGATATAATCAATAGTATTTGTTATTTTATTGGTATTAATGATTTGATAGTTTTAAGCTTCAGCTTGGTTAAAAATGCACTTCAAAAATTTTATAATTGCCCAACATTGGCAGAAAATAATTTCTATTTGAAGTAGAGCGGTAAGTGAAAATTGTTTGTTGTGCGCACTAGATTTTTTTTTGTTGATACCCCTACCTTGTCATTGAAGGCATATGGGTGGAGAGCCAGTTACCTGGAATTAAGATAACTTTGGCCCAGCTCTGGAAAACTAAACATTTAAACTGTTCTTCTCTTCCTATCCATAATTTAGTCTTTTCTTGGGGCCAAAGCTTTCCTAGACATAGGATAAAGTTTACATTTTGTACTCATTATTTATTCACTAGTGAACTGCAGAATAAATAAAAATAATGTTATCGAAAAGAGTAGAAACAAATTATAATCTAGGCATTTAACTTCTAAATGCCTAGATTATAATTAAACTTAATCTGCTCTCAATCACATACTCATCATATTTACAAGCAAAAGTTAGAACAACAATTTATATTCTAGCTGTATTAAAATATAGCATCACCTTAATGGTGATGAATTTTGGAATTAATAGAGAACATAGTAAGAAAGTCAAGGCAATATTTTCAAATAAGTAATGATCACTGTTAATTAAGTAATGTATCTGTCTAGATACATTACACAGGGTGTTTCGTAATTGCACGGCACTATTACAACATTAAGAGTAACTGTTCAAAGAGGCCTCCGTTTTGTTGTATGCAACATTCAGCACGATGAATCCATGCTTCTCTGGCTCTTCGTATAGCATCATAAATTGAACTGTACACACGTTACAACAGTATTCAATCACACTAAAACATTAGACAAACAGATGAGCAACTGCTGTTATTGATATTGTCATATCGATCATTTGTTTATCAGGTGATTAAAACCTGTTATTTAGTATTAAACACGTTAAGCTTTGTACAGTCAGTCTTAATGTAATAAATAAATAATAAATCTTCAACCTTTGATTTCTGTTTAATAAATGAGTTTGAGATATATGTTAATATGAACTTTTTTATTTATTTTGTGTTAGTGAACATATACCAAAAATAGTGCCATGCAATTACAAAACACCGATTATACAATAATTTTTTGTTGGTTAGGACAATATTTTCCATAAGAGCCAAAGTTATCCCAGTTGGCGGTACTACGAGTATGTGTCTGCAATCAACCTTTTCTACACTATTTTATTTTTGTGTTTCCTTAAAGCAGAAATATAAATGTTGGTTTGGACGTAGGTACCATATGCAGGCCGCTCCTAATAACCAGCCTTTGGAACAGCTGCCTGTCGGTCATTCGAGGTCATCCTCGGCTTCTTCTAATCAGCCGCATCATCCCTGACAGGCGTTGTGCTAATCATCAGGGTGCTGTGAATTGATTATTTATTTGTCTATAAGCCATTTAATTAATTTTAAACTATTGTTGGAAGGTGACTAATTTTTAGATTGTTTTAATTTGTATTATTTCACTAAAGTAAACAATGAAAATAATGTATTAAAATATTCTGATTAAGACTAATGACAATAAAATATTTAATTTTATTGCTGCAATTTTACCAAAAGAAAAAAAAAATAATGAAAAACTGTCAAATGGTTCATTTATTATCATCACTGATTAAATTAATTGTTATATTGTTAATGTTATATAGTTTTTGTATTATTTAGTAGTTTAAATGTGATTTAACAACTATATGATTGTGTCTAGTACTGATATGATTCATTATTATTTTCTATTTTTATAGAAAAAAAATGTGTTTGTATATACGTTTTATTTTCTATTTATTATTATTATTATTATTTTTAGAATTATATTATTTATTAACATGAGCCAAGCTCTAATGTCTATGAAACATTACCATTAGCACAAATATAAGTTGTGCAGGTATCTTTATTTATAGGTTAGGCAGTTGCAAAAATAAAGAGTGACCCAATTTAATTTTGTTTTTTGTCAAATTGTTTGAAATAATTCACTATATATGTCATAATATCATTTGTTATATTTTTATAAGTCGTTATGTTTATATACGATTGCTTAAATAAAAAAATAATAGTAATACGATACTTAAAGAGTCCCACAGGTCCTAACTAGATGGGATCAGATCACATTAAATAAAACTAGCTGTTAAATGCACACGATAAATATTTTAGTGATTTTTTCTAATAAATATATGCTTCCCTTTAGCTTTTATTTTCAGTACTATGTAATTTATCAGTAATCTAAGTAACTTATAAATTGATATAGGATTAATAGAAGAAAACATCTTTGTGTTTAAAATTTTACATGATACATTAATGTTATTAGGTAAAATTAAAAATTTTAAAACTAAATATACATTTCAGTGAAGCTTACATATGTGTTGTGGAATTTTTAGAAATACATTACAGCTTTAGTATAAAATAGAGGAAACAATTTTTGGTTGCCTGATAATGGATAAGTATAGACCCAACTCAAGTCAAACTCTCTCTTTAAATTATTTCCTTACTTACCGCTTGCCACATTAAATAATTGATTAGCTAAATTCTTGTTAATTTTTTTTCAATCCAGTGTGGCGAGAATTAGTGGGACTCTACTGTATATCAGGTTTTACTTGAATTAGGTAATATTTGTCAATATAAAAATTCTGTTTTTAATTTTGTTTCTTAATATTCTACACAATGGTACAATACAGGAATTTATTTTATGTTTAAATTTTGTTTAATTATTATTTTATTGAATCTCTATCATCTGGTCTAGTAGTAGTAATAACTTGTAAGATTGTAGGCTGTCTTTTGAATTACATTCTTTGCGATCATAATACATTTAACTTTTTTTTTTATAGTTACAGTGATTTCGGCATTATCATTTATTTTGGTGACTACAGAATTTGGGCGAACTATTACCTTACCTTATCTATGGTGGTTACCTTATCTATGAAAAATTTACCATAGAATTTATTCATATCATCATAACTATCTAAAATTGATTGTCTTAGGCATTGACAAGGTCATTAATTATTCATCTATAACAATAGATTTTTTACAAAATAGTTGAATTTGTTTTTCAATTTCTCTCACCTAATGAATGATAATTTATTAATACTAGTATGTATGTTTTAAACAGTCATATTTTTTTTTTTTATTAATTGCTATTTGGAAGAGGGGAATGTTTTTCCCTTTCTGCCTCCCATGGATCTGTTTTTTGCTAAAAAGTTCGGAGAAATGTTCTAAAACATTTATGTTCTTTTTTTTTTTTTTTACTTAGACTTACTTATTTCCTTCCTTTCTTTCATGCTTATGCTATATTGCATTATGTGTCCAAAAAATATTAGTGAATTTAATTAAAGTGTAAAGTTTTGTCTTAACAGAACTTAACCAAACATAAGAAACAAGAGATAATTGAGAATTCATTAATTAAAGATATTGACTATGTCATAAACTGTTTATTATTTTAATTTTGTCCAATTTGTATTTCTGTATTTTCTTTTCTTTTTTTTTTTTTATGAACATATTTTATTGGAAATACGAACTTATCTTTAAAAAATTTGTTTCAAACAAACCATTCTTGAATCGAACCATTGCATGCAAAAGTGGTATAAGTAAACAATTGTTTTAATGTGCTCAACATTTTAGGGGAAGTTCTATAAATGTAGACAAAGAATAATAATAATAAATACTTTTTAGTATGGAATTAATTATTTATTATGAAAAAGACTTACACCACTTTTGTGTTCAACGGCTCAATTATTGTTTCTAAGTTTTATCAGGAAATTATTTAATTAGTTTTAAAAATTCATTACAACTATTATCTCTCAAATATGTGGTATATTTATTGGACAGTGTCAATCTATACCTACTATGATTTATTTTTTCTCATTTCTCTTACAATTTTTCTGTACTTATTTATTTAATACTTTTTTGGTTATCTTATTTTTCTTTAAATTTTGTCTATTTTATGTGTCACCTTTCATTTATGGTTGATTTTTTTTTTTTTTTTTGTTATCTAAAGTCTATTCCTTAACTTTCTTTCCTTGATTATTGTTAATTTATATGACATGTATATAAGCAACATTTAATTTAATACGATAAAAAGGTAATAAATTATAGAGTAAGTGTGTACTACAGTTAAAAGTAGTTGTATAACAGAAAATCTTCTTGTAGAACATACAACTCAAAAGCACTATCAGTATTAGTGGAAATTGTTTAAAGTATTTTGGGCTTCATAAAAATTGTTGTTATACTCATTAAAATTCAACGATAAGGGTCATGTGCTATTCAACGTACTAATTGTGTATTGATCCTGTAAAGTGGCACATTTAATCAACTATCAAGCAATAGTTTTATTTTGTATTAGATGTTTTTATTATTAAATTGTCAAGTAATTCACATCATTAAATAAAAGACTTATCATCTGTTGTAAATACGTGCATTTCTTTAAGATGTATATTTGTATAATTTTGATGTAACATGTACATAACTTATTTATTTTGTATTCGTAATGAATTAAAATTATGATATCTTAGATGTTTAACTATACACCAAAGATGCCTAAATTTTATTAAATTTATTGATCTGCTTATGAATGACATATTTAAATTATTTATTCCTTTCACCATCTACACGACTACCACATTATCTAATCATTTTACAGTTTAAAAAAAAGAAAAAAAGATAAGCATACTAAGCGGTGGTGCAAAGAAATTGTTCATGAAAAGAAAAAAGATGGACCGTGCTACAGGTGTTCCTATTGTAAGTTTTGTAAATTTGATTCTTAAAAACATTTCTAGCAGATAGGTTAGACTAATGCTAGTAGTATTAGTCTTATATGAGACTTTGAGTCCACAGATTGACTTAACTCCATTTTCAACATTCTTTATTATTAATTTTAGTGATACTTCTAGTGGAAAAATTTATACCATTATTCAAAGATCTATATTTCAACACTGCAATCACCTACTCTGGAACCAACGTACTCACTGTCTCTACAGATATTATAAATTTTAGAACTAGAGATATCACTAAAATGACTTAAATAAAAAATGTTGAAATTAGAGTTAGTCATTCTGTCAACTGAAAGACTCATATAATCTGATAGAAATGTAATTTAAAAAATCGTAAGGCCTACATTACAAGCTTGAAAACACACGACTTAAAAGACCCTTTGTGCTGCAGCCCTTGAAATGAAATGAAAAAGTATATTTTATTCTGGGGCATTCAGCCCCCTAAGAATAATTATAAGGAACAATTTAGTGACATTTGTTTGGCATACAAGTTAATAGTCTTCTTGTTGTTAATTGAATTACATTGCCATTGCTGTTCTTTATAATAAAATAAAGAAAGGCACAAGTTAAAATTTAATTACAGATTGGTGTATAAGAGTGTGTTTAAACATAGACAATGGGTAATATGTATTTATGTGTGAGAAGGCAGTAAAATGAGGTGACACCTCTAAAAAAACAAAAATATTACTCTTACATATACTCTAAAAGATTGATTGCTGAGGAGATGAATAAATAAATGTGGTCAAGGATGAGGATTTGTGTACAGAAGTAGATAAGGAATTCCAAAACAAGGTAGCACGAATATGAGTAAATATATTTTAAAGGAAACAGTTCTATGAGAAGGAATAAATAGGTTTGTGGAGTGGGATCTCGTGTTGAAAGAATGTACAGAGGAGCAGGGAATAAACAGATCAAGAAGGTAAGAAGGTTCTGTTGTTACAAAGGTTCGGAAAACGTAAACACCTATGAAATATTGCTGTGGGAAAGCGGGATAAAGCCACTTCAGCTTGGTATACCAGCTGGAGACGTGGGAGCATCTGGGGGCTCCAAATATGAATCTAATGAAACAATTCATTAGTCTCTTCAATCTGATCTCGAGCCCACCAGACAGTCCACCCTGTACAAGCAGCCATAATTGAAGTGAGGGAAAATAAGAGAGGAAACTAGGAGCTGACCTGTTTTTGGGGGCAAAGAATCCCGGAATCTTAAGAACTGTTTTAAGGCAGCAATAAATTTTTGGATAATTTGGGAAATACGATTGTTCCAGGAGAGGTATTGATTGAAAATTACTCCAAGATTTCTAATTATGGAAATGAATAGGTACTCCAATGAAGTAAGAGTAGATGGATGGAATTGATAAGATGCTTGGAACCCATGAGAATGGCTTTGGTTTTCTCAATGTTCAAATTTAAGTCATTGCTTGCTGCCCAAGTGGTAATACCATCTACATCTTCCTGTATCCGTCGTATCCCCTCAAGCATCTTGGTAGGATGGAAGGAATGGTAGATTTGAAGGTCGTCGGCATAAAGGTGGTATTGTGAATGATGGATCAAATTAGAAAGGTCATTGATGTAGATGGAGAAAAGAATTGGAGAGAGTGAAGATCCCTGCGGAACACCGCGATCTAGTAAGAGGGGGGGGGGAGGAAGGAGTTTTATCCGGAATGATGACTGTTTGGGATCTGTGGTGATAAAAGAAGGAATGGAACCACTTTAGGACATTATTTGATATGCAAAGGTTTTGGAGTTTGGAAAGAAGGATTTTATTATTAACGTAATTGAAGGCTCTTGAAAAATCAAAAAGGGCTAGAATATTGATTTTCTGTCTATCTATGGAGAATTGGAGGTCTTGGGTGATTTTCAATAGAGCAGATTGGGTGGAGAACTGGGATCGAAAACCAAATTGTAGGGGATTGAGAAGAGCATTTTGCTTGAGGAAAGTATTTAAATGAGAATGGGCTGGTCTTTCCAGAAGCTTTGAAAATTGGAGAGAATAGAGATGGGTCTGAAATCGGAAGCTTTGGAGGGAACCGGAACTTTGCTCAAAGGGAGGCTATAATTTTTTTCCAAGCTGATGGGAAACAGGAATTTTGAATTTCGTATATCTTGATGATACACTACAGCATTGATGATAGTACTATTTTCCATCGACAAAAAGTGAGTGATACATACAATGAGTCGGCAAAAACTGTATACATATACACTTACCTACTCAAATCCGTCTGGACATACATACGCCTCTCAGATATACGGTTCGGCAAAAAAGACGCACTTACAAAAACTACTGTCATTTTAATCCATCATTTTACGACTTATAACAGGAGTTCTCTGGCACGTCTACAACAAAACTTTACATAACTACTTACGACAACCAACTATAGACCAACCCAACACATATGTACTCTTTACTCTTGTTTTCATCTCAAACTACAGAGACACACAGACTTATAAACGACATGGCCACGACTTACATCCCCATCAGGAGGAGACTAAAATGGAGCTCGATGAGAGATCGCCTCAGTTAAATCAATGAAGTAAATAATGACCAGGAAGAGGTGCTGCTGGGTACTATCCTTCCTCATGTCTTCAACAAATTAATTATTTTCGCAATATTTCACTTTAATTTGAAAGTAGTTGACTTGTTATTTTTCTAACTTTTGTCCAATGCTATAAAGGAAAATGACCAAATAAGCATTGTTTTTTTTAAATGAAACAGGTTATTATTAATGGTCAATGCACCAGTAGCCCAGCCAAATTAGCTCAGAAAAAAGGGTCTAGCTTGCAAAAAGTCGGGTAATTCCAATTTCTTTATTGTATTGTTAGATACGTATTGAATATAAAAAATCCAAGTTTCCGCCCTTCATAGCCTTGTGGGTTCCCTGCAGCTCTCCAAAACCCATTGAAATTTCGAACTTTTTTTGGTTTACGCTAAATATCTCCTTTTTAAAGTGACATAGATAAAAAATGTCGCAGATCAAGAAAAATGAGAGTTCTTTTAATGCTCAAAGCAAAACTGCCTTAAAATATTTAGTGCTTCTTACATAATGTCAGTAGAATAATCTGGAATTGACAAGGATGCTTGACTCTTTGATGGATAAGAGCGAATGTGCGCCTCCAGGCACTAGCAAATTCGGAGGCTTTTGGGCTGAAAGCTTTTTTCTTAAAAAAATTAAAATTAATTTTCATTGTTATTTGTTGATATTCAATCCAGGCAACAGGGGGAAACAAGGACCAAACAACTTTGTATATTTTTGTATATGATCTATAATTTTTCTTTTTTTTACTGTTTTTAAGAAAAGAACAATTTTAATTTCTTGGAGGAGAGAGGGTGGTAAATGCGCCATCGACCTTGTGGAAAATGGGTACCACGACTACCTTTTCAGCTAATACACCCAGACACTCTTGCATTCTGTCATGCAAAAACAAACACTTTTTATTTTTTTCCGTTTAGAGACATCCCAATACGATTTCCACATTACCACACGAAGAATTTCCACTTGTACTGGGTCTGGCTCCGTTTGGGACCCTCGGCTGGAGTCTGAAGTATAACTATATATTATAAGTATACGTATACACACACACACACACACACACACACACACACACACACACAAACACAAACACACACACACACACACACACACTCACACACACACACACACACTCACACACACACACACACACACACACAAAAATTCAAACTTATTGTTATTACAAAATTAACAAGGTATTAATTAATAAAGTATTAAAACAAAATTATTGTTGAATGATGGACCTCAACATTATATTATATTTAAGTTGATCGCAACACTTCCCGTTGATATAACTTTTATATATAGATAAAGGAAAATAATATGGCGCACTCCCCCTCTAAAATTAAATCATGAATCCGCTATTGCCTATAGGAGAAAAAATATTGAAGTAAAAATTATTTATATTTTATTTACAGATATTTTTCAATTTACATATATTTATATATTTTTTAAAAAAATAGGTAGATTATTTTATTAAAACATAACATTTTTTTTATCATATAAGATATATACAATCTATTCACGGGAATTAGATACTTCGTCTATAATACAGAAAACTCGTCGTTTGAACAATTTGATTTGATAATCAGTTAGTTCTTCTAATTCTGGCATCAAGCTGAGTAGGAACATTTTGATACTTTGCTGCCTGTCAAGTTTTTTAGAAGTGCTCTCTGCCGAGTTGATTTGTATTTTTGCCTTTTTATGCCTGTTGAAATCAGGCTGGTGATACTGGTGGTCTGTGTTCCCGGCTGCTTTATTCCTCACTATGAACAGCTTGTTGCCTTGAAGAGGCAGCGAGAACTTGACCGGTTTGTCTTTCGTTTGTTGAGGGAGTGTGACGTTATTTTGTTGGAACGGTGAAGTCGCAGGAGAGTTACTAGGGTCCGTCGGGGCAGGCGATGATAATTGTGGGAAATGTAGCTGGAAACTATTCTCCTCACAGGTATCAATGTTTTCAACAAGTTCTTCATTTGTTGATTGAGTTGTACCAGTCGAGCTGAGTACTAATGATGAGCTAGTATTATTTTGTTTTATATACGGCAAACAAAATTTCATGGCATGTTCTAAATAGTACGCCTTTTTCTTTGATCCATCTTCAGGAGATCTCATTCTACGCATAAAAACTGACCGTAAATTTCGCCACTTCTCTTTTACATCAGCAACTGAAATAGAAAAAATAAATAAATGAAAATGAAACTGGCTAAAAAACAAAAAAATAGTAATCATATACAGGGATCCATTAATCATTACATAATGTTTTAATGTTATTTGATTCACTTTATCATAGATACTTCGTAATGATATAACACTTATGGCACTTACAATATATTCAACAAGAAGTACCATTACTGTTAAAAAACGTCTGCCAAGTAAGGTCAGTATAGCTCCTCACCGTTTTCATTTTATATTACAAGGTATACAATTTTTCGTATGAGAATAAAATCTCTGAGAGAAGCAGAATCGGGATAGCCGATTACAGTTACCCTTCAACATTCAACAAAAGAGTGTCGTATTTGAAGATTCCATACTTGATTATCCTTAATAAAAAAAAATAATGCATACTGAACATGATTTTCAATACTGTTAGTGCAAAAGGTCTTACAAAAAATTTATTGTTTTACAAGAGTGCATAACTCATTATTTCTTTATGCTTTATTAATATAATTTCATATTTTATTGCCATCTGCTATTGTCCATAGTAGCAGCCTAGTTATATCAGTTGCAAAATACAAAATGTCACCTTTAATACAAATATAATAAAAGTTAAAAATGTTTACATACGACCTTTTGCACTAATAGTAGTGATATACACTAGTGGAGTCAGATTTAATTTTGCATGGGAGGCTTCAGCCCGAAAGATTTTTTTTCCATATACATATAACGATAGTTAACTTGAAAAAAAAAGCTGCAAATTGTTTCACAATGGTTTATTATTTCCAAACAATTATACATCTAAAGTAACATTACCTTCCTAGTTACGAAGAAAAATAAATTAGATGATTCCAATTATTGGACTAAAGTTTTTTTTTAATCATTAGTAATATGCTAAAAAAAATAACATTACTAAAGTAACACATTCAAAATTTAAAAACCAAAACAAATGATAAAACCTTTGCAGTAGAACATCTAAAAAAAGTAGAAACCATATCTTTGCTCCTAATTGTCCGATTTTAGCGAATTTTTTTTTTAGGAAATTCCGTAAACTTTTTAAAAACCATCTTATCACAGTATCTACAAAAAAAAAAAGTGTTTACTTTTTAGTTATTCAGAATCTAATTTTACCATCCCTCGTAATTTTTTCCAAGCTTCTTTTCGTTGAAGTACGTTATATAGATAAATTTAAAGGGCGTCGAGAAAATGAGTATAGCGAAGTTTCATTGAAATCGGTACATTCGTTTAGGCGCTACAGTCTATAGCAACGCGCGTAGTATAGTAGCGCATATATAAGAGAAAGTAGTGGACAGAATTCAATAAAATTGACACTACATTATTTGTTCACCAATATCTACCTTTCATCCAACTTTGAGCCAAATCGAACGAGCCCTTTCTGAAATATTAGCATATCTAAAAAAATACGGTGGCGCGTTCGTAAGCAGAAATGCTGGATGGAATTTGATAACATTGATATGGAACCATCTAGGCACCAATCCCCATAATCCCTTAAAATTTCATGAAAATCGGATGAACGATACTAGGTGATATACCCATCACATCGATTTTACTACAGACAGACAGAGCACCAAATTTGATCCTTGGTGTCTCAAACGTAAAACGCGAGTGGAAATTTTCGATTCTGAGCACAAAATATTTTTTAAACTATCGCACGAAAACAATGCTTCCCTGCTTTCGGTAGTGAGAAAGCAAAAATAATAAAAAAAAAACTATAGAAATCATATGGGATATACTGAAGAAAATATAATGCCTGCCTATAAATACATACAGCTTATAAATTTAAAACATACCGCTACTGTTGTGCAATGATTATTTCTTTATTAATTATTTGTATAATTTCATATTTTATTTCTCTCTGCTATTTCCCAGAGTAGCAGATTTGTTATAGCAGTTACAGACTACAAACTTTCACCTTTAGCACAAATAGAATAAACATGGAAAATCGTTACGTATGATCTCTTGCACTAACAGTAATTGCTTATTATTTTTTGCTGTTTGAGAATCCACCCAATTGCATTTGGGCCTAGGACGGAAGAAACATCCGAACTTAAAGAGTTTTAATATACCGTCAACTGGGATAATTTTTCCAGGTGGAACAACCTGGCCACTTAAAAAAAAAAAAGTCTGCCAAGTATGGTTAGTATAGCTTCCTAACCGTTTTCATTTGCTTAAAAATATCTATATTAAAGGGTCTAAAAATTTTCTTATGACAATAAAATCTCTGGAAGAAGCCGTTTTTGGAAATTCAATAATGTTATTGAATAATATTAATTATTTCTAAAAATGAAGGATGCATTAATATTTTTTCGGGAATAAATAAAAAAACTTTAAAGTGGAGTATTCTGAAACTCCTTTGATGAAAAAACATTGATGAAGTTTCACTCGATTTAAAATTCATCATGTACATCATAGGTAATGTCATCTTAGAAGTTTGAATTTCACAAACTATGGGAAACAGAAATTATCTAACTTAAATAATAGCGACATTATCGCTAAACTAAACTATTTATTTTATTTCTCTTGGAAAATATCAAAAATAAGAAACAAAAATATTAGTATAATGAAATAATCATTTATGTATTTGCTTGACCCATAGTTTGTGAAATGTCTAAACGCACCTTAAAATTTTTCATTACATGTATTATTAATATTTCTGTTTTTTATAATAAGTGTTTTCTTGATTTACATTTTTTGTGTGTGTATGTGTGTTCTATAGTGGTTTCAAACAAGTTAAAACACGTTTGGTTAATTTATCACTTTTCTGAGGTAACTCATTTTATTTTAGCATGTAAACGGTTACAAAAAGAGAAAAAGAATAATGGTTTGTGAGAGTTTGAAGATTTGTTGTCTTCAATTAGGTAACGAAATAGTTAAAAGAAGACTTTTAAGAGGGGTAAAGTTGTCCTGGTAAACTGTGCAGGTTTCGAAAGCTTCTCACTGTATCGCAGTGGAACTTAAGTGAAACCTAATCAAGCAGAACCCTCGACAATGTGAGGAGGATATTGAATTACAGATTTAACTGAGGAATAAAATTAATTAAATAAGTGTTTGTAATAGCAGAAGTAGAGTTCGTAGGGATGAATACAACAGAGCTGAATAGGCTAGATGCAATTTCATGATCCAACGGTAAAGAATAATATAATTACTGCTTGCCTGCTTCACAATTTGGTATTGAATCGAGAATGGATTTAGTACAGACCTCAAGACTAGAAAGAAACAAACGATATAGTAGAATTAATAACGAACATAGACCTACATATAATCAAGTCTGGTTATCTCGCCCTGGTGTAAACAGGAAAACTGGAGGTGAGGAAAATAATATAAGGACGAGAAAAAATTCCAGTAAAGGAAAACGAAGTGTTTTAACGCTAATGATTTTATCTTCAGAGATATATGTCAAATCCTACGATTATAAGTAAAAAAAAAAAAAAGTTCTATACCCACATTTATCATAGAGTAAATTTACTGTTAGTTATTTAAGTATACATATAAAAAAAATGCTTTCGGGCTAAACCCATCAAAATTAAATTCTGGATCAGCTATGACTAATAAATGACTAATTAACTTTGAGAATTATTCGTAAGGACCAATTAGTTGTAATAATAAACAGATTGCTATCGAAAAATGCATTATTCTACTTTGAAAAAATACTTTTGGCTATTATATATGCTACAAAACATTTTACACTTTATTTGTATAGGAAGAAATTGACCTTCGTCATATTTAATATAACACAAACACACGAATATTTTATTTACATGATATAATTTTGAAATAAATACATTCAAAATAAAGTAAATGCTTAAACGTTTCTATGCACACATGACAATGTCTAAGGTAAACATAAAATTTTCATCTACAATAGTTGTATATTAATATTAATTTTATATCTTGTCTATTTAATCCTGATAGAGACCTGTAAAGTTGGTGTCCGATTTTGTACACATGAATTAGGAAATTTCCCGTCCATAGCCGCAGACTTTTTATTCTGGTTGGGGACGATGGACCCCCAAAAAGTGTCGAAGAAGTTTATATTTTGTTTAAACATTATGAGGGACAATTAAGTTAATCAACATAATGATTGTAAAAGCAACAATAAAATAATATATATTTGGTTATTTACTTTAGTATATATATTGAAGGAATCCAGTCGACTGTACTACATATCATGCATGGGTGTATGCTAAATTCAGGACGCAGTCATTATAAATTTTTTTTATTTGTGCCAACGTTTCAACCAAAACGGGTGGGTCATCATCAGGGCGCGGTTCGAGCACTGAAGGTTTTCGTTTACTGGTAAGACTTTAGTATATATACATACATATATATATATATATATATATATATATATATATATATATATATATATATATATTGTATTAGGATTATTGGTATATTTTAAAATATTTTAGCGATAGCATTGTTAATATATTTAAATAACATAAAATATCATATATTTTATGTTATTTTAGCTATCTACGCCATTAAAAAAAAAACCTTTATTGCCTTTATTGAAGTGAACACTTCTTAAGGCGAGTTTTGCACTTTTTTGTGGAGAGTGAATTAGATTGAGCCGCCAGATTTCCGATGTGTAACGCTCGGATAAAGTTGGCTGGATTCGACTAATTGAAGTGTTTTAGCATATGGATTAAAATATTTCAAAAACTAATATAGGACCTGCATATTGTTAGCGAGGGAAATATTCATTTCATCCTCTTTGTAATGAGCTATTATTCTAAATTTTATCTTAACGCGACGCCGTGTTAGAGAGGCGAAAAGGGAAAAATTGAGTCGAAAACCAAATGATAACGAGTTTTATTAAAGATATGGATTAAAACATCTCAGGAAATAAAAATCGGACCTGCATACTGTAAGCGGGGAAATTGTTCACCATTTCATTTTCCTTATATGAGCTATTATTTATAATTTATATTTCATATTATTAATTTCGCCTTGTTGATGTTTTCACTTCTTCAGCATGGTCTAAAGCATACACCTTAGTGTTTTTATTACAATATCAAAATCTTATCGGCCAAAAACTCAAATCGGCTTAAAGGTTCAAAACTGGTTTTGAGCTTGGGATGAGATGAGATGGAACAAACGTCTGGCAGTCCGAATTTAGGCCTTCAGATGTTTGAACGGAATAACTGTATCGCGCAAGCGCTAACCAGATTTATGATAAGATTCCTGTTGGGAAGAACCTATACCAATAATTAACACATTTAATTATAGATATCGCGTCATGTTTAAGAAAAACACCAGAATAATTTATAATATTCAATATTAAATACTAAATAACAATAATAAGTTGAATATAAACATTGCCAAGCTCCTCATTTCATAAACATCTACAAAAGCGCTGATAAGAGATAAATCAACAAAAAATATAATGTTCAAAATATAAAAAAGAATAGAGCTCAAATACATGTACTAGTTGCTACATGTATTTGACTGAGTTCTAATTATATATTGCAATTATATGTAAAATGTAAAATCGAATCACAATAAGTAGTGCTGTTTATTTCCGCAAGTTTCATTAGATTTGTGCCCCAAAACCGACATTGAAACAAATCGACCATAAACGCAGAGGAGCATGCGCAAGCAAACCCAATGTCCCATTCACACCCCATGAACTTGTCTTTGGTGGATAACAGTGTATACCCTCCTCTACAATATAAATTACTGAAATTTTCATACCTGGCATATTCATTTCGTCGGCCACCTCCTGCCATGCTTTATCCGTCACTGATTTTCTTGTAAATTCAGGAAGTTTAAAATTATACAATTCTGGATGTTTTTCCACCTCTCCGACGAGTTTTAGGTTTACTTCTTGTTGATTCATATTTACAGGAAACATTATTTACACGTGGCCAACATTCCGTGGTTCTGTCAAAATTTAAATTTTAACACAACCGGGACCACAGAAAATGTTATCATACAACCGGTTTAAAACTAAATAGATTGTGAACTAATCACGTACTGATCGCTTAGGGTGCGAGCACAACTGGTTTGCAACCTTTATCTCAAAACAGACTGTCTAAAACATGGCTGTCACTTCACTAGCGATCTCTATTGCTTTCTGGGCGTACCAGGTGCCCAATTTTCGCGTTTTTTAAAAATAAGGCCATACACTTCTTGAAGGAACATATTCCCAATAACTTCTTTGTTAAAATGTTAACTTCCAAATTGAAATTTATTTAAACCTCTTTAGTTATTTTAATAAAATAAAATGAGAAATAGGTCAATATATAAGGTGAATGATGGTTTAAATTTTATAGGTTTTCTTCTTGTTATTCTTTTTCATAATTTGCACAACTTTTATTATGTATTTTTATAAAAGAAAAAGTACTGTTTTATGTTTTAATTACCAGGTAATCAGGTAAGAAACAATAGAAATTTTAAATGACTAGTATTCTAATAGTGAGAACTCTCACATTAAATATGTATTCTGCTTACCCTAAAATATTCAGATTAGAAGCTATATTAGAAAAAAAAAGTTATTCATATGGGCAATATAATGTTATCAAGAATGTTTATTTTTTTATATCGTAGGATTAGCGGAAATTTATTCTTTATAATGACTATAGAATTTTCTTAATAAGTAGTCGTGTCTTGATGAGACACATCGGGAAGGGGCATAAGACCAGCATCCTTGAATTGTAGTTCACTTACTTGTTAAGAATAGAATATTGAAGCCAAATCTCAATAAGAATCATTACAATGGCTATATTAACAACCAAGAAAATTAAAGTTATTCTCAATTGTGGATTGATGGTTGACTGTAGTGAATAATTTAAAAGGAGAATGGTTGGGGTAATCAGTCAAAATAAAATAGTAAAAATAAAATTGCATTTATTTTCACATTCACCGACGACCCATCCCAAAGTTCAGGCCTTCATCAGGGCTGTTCAATCGACATGCGTGGACAGATCAGAAAAATGTTTTACATGTGTTCTGTCCACGCTTGTCGATTGAACAACCCTGATGAAGGCCTGAACTTCTGGCCGCAATGTCAGCGAATGTGAAAATAAATACAATTATTTATTTTTACTATTTCATTTTGACTTATCACCCCAACCATCTTTCTCTTCAATAAACTATTCTCCATTGTTTACCTTTTCAATAGATTTTCAGTTGACATTTTACCCTTTAATGAATGAATAATTTATATACTTGGACAATTATGTATATAAATAAAAATAATTTAAATTACATCTTTCAAATAACTCAGATGAAACATTTTAAAGAATAAAACTTTACTTCTTGACACATATTTCAAGTTCTCATGGTTGTCTGATTCTGATTAAAACAGAATTATTACAGTTAAAATTGTTTAAGTGCATTTAAGTAAGGAAAAAATGTATGTTTGTTTATTTTTGGTTTATTTATGTCTGATAATATTCTTATGCCATCATCATAATGCATTTTGATAAGTATTCATTAAAATATTTTTTTAACTTAATTATCAAAAACAAATTATCAGGTTTAATATCTTATTATCAAAAAAGTGGAAAACGTCAAAGTATTAAAGTATTAGCTACGATCACCAAAAGTAACAAATATAGACCAATAAAAAAAAAAAAAATGTTTTTCAATTTTGGGAGGCTTCAGCCCTCCCCCTTGGATCCACCATTGGTGTGTATCCATCTCTCTCATCTGTTGAAAAACCATTCAAATTAAAACAAGGAGCATTCCTATAAAATTCGGACTTAGTATTGAACTTCTCATTTTAAATAATTTTCATAAACACTATATATTATGCTATTTTCTTTTTATTTGAAACTCTAATAAGAGTCAATTTGGAAGTTGTGAATTTATAGGATAATCCTAATTTTAAAATAAATAATTCGTAGTTACCATTAATGTCACTAGATAGCGCTAGTGAGGAGAACTTCATCTTAATCTTCAGATTCTTCTCCTGTCTCAATTCTGTCCCTATACAGTTCCATTCTGTGCACTGGGCGTTATTTGAGTTTTCATGAGTGAAATCAAAAAATATTATAGTCCCATCACTCAGAAGAAGCCACAGTCAGTAGATCACCTATTTAAACTTTTATTTTGTGCTTTACAAGATTTTCAAGGTTCTTATATACCAATTTTTTTTTAAATTTTATTATTTTAAACAAAGGAAAAGAATATTTATATTAGTATCAAGTAAGTTATATTTTATAAGAAATTACAAAAACCAGAAGACGATAACAATAAAATAGGCGAAGTAAACTTTTTAATGAAAAAATGTCAGATTCGGTTTTAGCAATCTTTTAAACCCATAAATGCGAATATTTATAGAAAAAATACATATATTGTTTTTCCCTCTCTATAACTAAATCATTCATAACTCCCCAAGATTTTCTCCAAATTCAATTTTTCAACAAACTTTTGAAAGCGTTATTATTGTTTTTCCAATCCATGGAAATATATTTTCGGTACTATGTCTTTATAAAGTAAACATTTTCAAGCCTTATCATTTAATATCTTCAATTTGAATTTGTTTTTTTGAGGTGGGGTTTGTGTAATTTCCGGTAATTTATAGAGCTCTAAATTTCAGAATGTTTTCATGCGGATCTGCGGAGGCATCTTGAAAATTTTTTTTTCTATGATTTTTGAAAATCCTGATAAGTCAGGAATTTGGTTCTTGTTTTTAAATTTATAATGTTATAAGCAGTACTAAAAGCTTGCTCTTCTACCTGTATGTGCAATGGCATTAAGATCAAGGAAATCGTCCATAGCAACCATAGGAATGGTGGTTATAATCCATGTCATGAGGCACATAAGTCTTTGTAATTTCCTTAGCAGAGCTCAAGAAGTGCAATCTAAATGCTACCATACTATGGCAGCCTATAAGAGTAAAGGTCTGATCGTTATCGTATATATACTGTATCACTAGAGGGGTATCAGATGAAGGGTCTTGGGTTCAGTACTATTTAGGAAAAGTACTGTTTCTTGTGCCAGGTCAACGGTTGTGCAAGGAGATGATCATGCTCAACCGCCAGGTTTTCTCCCTTAATTAATTAAAGGTACCCACTTTGTAGAGGCTGGATGTGTCCCAAAGCAGATGAAACAGAATAAATAATTTTTCTGCCATTACCCAGGATTGAAAACTGGGATCTTGAGCATTGGGCGCTCGGCGTCATACCACTGAGCTACCCCACTCTCTAATAAGATTTAAACAGTCAAACATTACCTAATAAGGCCCAAAGGCATTTTAAGGTATTGGTTTTGCTTTTTTCAATATGCAATTGTCGTTTCAACTTGTCAAGGATAATCTCATGATTCTTAACTCCACTACAGTTATTTACCGGAGTACCGTCCGAATGGATTGTAATATTTCTTCTGTTGATGAAGACACAATGGTTTTCCTTCTTTGGGTTTATGTCATTTTATAAGCACCATTATTTCAGAAGATCCATTGTTAGTTCGAGTAATCTTGAAATAGCCTCCGGAAATTTCCTCTCTATCAATACAGCAATATCATATAAGCCCTGTAAGTAAGCACTGAATATAGAATGCCGCAGCAATTAGCTTTGTCAACAAATAAATACTACAGAAGTGGGAACAGTATGCCTCTCTTTGGACAGCCCCGAATAGATTTGATCGACTCCTTCAGAATTTACTTGATCTATCTGGAAGGTTAAGATCCGATTCCTCTCCATTCTAGAGTTGTAACGATCACAGCGGTAATTTCTTTTGTTTATTATTTTTAATTAATCTTTTAATAGATACTTTGTTTTGTTTTATATTCATTAAATTTTAAAGTTTAATATAAATCAGCTGTTTATAAATAATGTACTGTTCAGTTATACTTTATGACCTTGATGGTCCATATTATCGGAGCTTTGCCTACATATAAGCGCTAAGGTTTAAGTTTTATCCGTGAACTTCATCAAAACGGAGGGTCTACCTCAGTCCTTTTTTGGAGGCTAAGTTGTCAAATGTTGTACTGACTACTTGCAGTTTTGCATGAGTTCTGCTACCAGTGCCGGCATAACATTCGGCGGTCCTGGTCAAAGACGTCATCTATTCTCCCTAAAAATTAAAATTATTTCTTAAGCTGTTTTATACTGTGTAATAATTTAATTTTATTTCATTCAACATTTCTCTAATATAGCTGTTTCATTGATAATCTAAAATTAATTTTTTTTACACTTTTTTTTTTTTAAATTTCTATACAAGTAGCGAGAAGATCGGCCGAAGCCCTACGCTAGGCTCTAGTTGCCCTACCCTAAAGCCGGCACTGATGCTAATAATTCAATTTTAATAAAAAAATTATAGTTGGAGCGAACATATTCAAGCAAAACTTCATCATTCAACTCATACACGTATACTGCTTCTGTGAACTTCCATGTGATGCAAAAACTTAATACAATGCAATACGATATAGACATTTATATAGTGGGTCTGTTCCAACAAGCAGTCCTGGAATGTTTTCGCATGAGCAGTATTGGTACAGTGGCCTTGCCACGTTTGGTGACCTAACAAGTCCACTATACCAATACTGCGCATGCGAAAAAAATCCAGGACTGTTTAGAACAGACGCAATAACATCATTATTTAACTTAAAAAAATTATACTATTTTTGGGCAGTGTTGCCGCGCGCTCAGTGACAGATTCCTCGTACCTCGAGTCTCGTACATCCTCGTACGCTTGCTCATCGATAATTCATTCAATTGTAGGCACACTGTTATTGTTTTTTTATAGTAAAATTAGATCACACCTTTTTCGGCCGCTTTTCCGAAACGAAAGGCCGGAGGGTGATTAAATGTATATAGAACACTTCTGAATCCGATAGAAACGTTATGTTAATATTTCAAAGCAATCGGTGAAGGAGTTTCGGAGATTAGCGGTTTTTAACAAACGAACATTTACAGTTTTATTAATATACCTTGTCCTGTCATAAATATTGATACAAAGAAAAACATACAGATTTCAACAGAAACATTTATTTTTTCAAAAACTTTATTAGAAATTAAAATGTATATTTATAGAGAGTAAAACAAAAAAGAAATTACTCAAAATGTCCCCTTTTTGCCTTGACACAGGCATTTAATCTCCGTGGCTAGTCATCAATAGTATTAGCACTTCTTGAGGAAAGCGCTCAACTGATCGGACCAGAGATTGTTTGAGGCTTTCCAAGTTCCAAGCGTGTGCTCTGTGGCATGCCATCCTCTCCGGTTCGGACCAAAGCCGATAATATAGTGGGTTGAGATAAGGACTTCCTGAGGGCCAATCCGAGGCAGAGATGAACTCTGGAATGTTCCCATCCATCAAAGGCTTCCTTGACACCAACATCCCAAGTCTTTCTGAGCCTTTCCTGAGGTCTTCTTACTTTCCAACACCATCCTGGTCACTCGATTATATGGCATTCGAGAGAAATGGCCAAACCATCTCAAACGATTTTCCTTTATCACAGTTTCGGCTGGTCTTAAGTTTAGATTTTTCCCTATTGTGGAGTACTTTATGAGATCTCTCTTTGCTTTTGCTTCGACCCTGAGCTGGAATCGCATCTCCATGGCCTGAATCTGACTGATGTGTTTTGTGGTGATGGTCCATGACTCGCTGGAGTAGGTCATTATCGGGAGGAAAGTATTTTTGTACACGGTCGTTTTGATCTCCTTGCTCACTTATCTCTTATTCAAGAATCCTTGCTTGGTGGCGTTGAATCACCATCCTGCAGATTTCACTCTTTCCTTTATTTCTACGTCGATCCATCAATGTTCAATGATATGGACACCGAGTTATTTAGAAATTTTCACTTGTTCCAATGGAACTCCACTCAAGTGCACTATTTTGTCTCATCTTCATTGTTTTCTGCCAATCCTCATAGTTTTGTTTTTTTCCACGTTTATTTGCATATTTATCTTATTTAATTCTTCCTGAAGAATGCGGAGGTTGAATTGCAGGTTTCCTCCGTTGCTTCCGAAAACCACCAAATCGTCTGCACAAGCGAACAGAGAGAAAAATTTGAAATCTTCAATTGTAAAAATGTTCTCATCGCTAAACAAAATCTTTCGATGAAGACCATTGGTGTAACGGCCAAGGAACACTTTACGTCTATCAACTCTAATTTTTTTTAGTGAAGTGGTAAGCCTTTGTCCTGTCATTCTTTGAAATGTACCCATCCTAAGATCACTTTTTCTTATGCGAGACATTGATCTGACAGATTCCTATTTTCCGAGACATGATTTGTTGTTTTCGAATGGGATTTCTTCTGATTCGAGCTGCCACTGCTTTCACTGTATTTGCCGTTCTCACAGTGCAGGTCTGTCACATACAGATAGGGTCTCATTATATCTATTTACAGTGCGGTACACGAGCATACGGCTGATACCCAAAGTTTTCAAAGTGTTGAAAATCTCTGACTCGTATTTTCCAACTTTGTGTAAGGCGATCACAGCTATTCGGTTTTCTTTATCAACCCACGCCATGTTAACTAAGGGGAAGAAAAATACAAAATAGTTGGGATTATTATCCTGACATGTAAAGAAAATACCCTGATATATGTGAGTGAGCATTATCTAAATAATACACAAAATTTAACTTTTGTAACAGTATTTATGGCAGAACTAGGAAGATGAAGGAATAGATATGTGATGGGAAGCTATGAAAACTGATTGTCTCTGTTATAATCTTTTTACCTGCTTTTCACCAAATAACTCATGACTCATAGATGCATGTAAATTTTCGTGAGAATAAGTAGAACCATGTCGAAGTTAGGACAACTTTTATGATTTTTAGAATAAAATTGAAGGCTCCTACCTGGATGAAAAGTTTTATTTTTAGATTGCAATGAAAATTCGTATTTGAATTTTTATTGAGATGCGAAATGAGAATCTCAACTCTATTTCTCATTAAAAAAAACTATTTGGACCCACTTTGCTCATTTGGCCGGTACAAATTGTTTTATTTCGGAGATAATTCTTTTCGATTATGATGGTTTTTTAAAAACCATTTTGTAGGGAATTAACGAAGTTTTCAAATAATCATGGGTATAATCAAATAAAAATTGTGTACTTTTTGAGTTATTCGCAAATATACTTATGAGCCTATCGTAAATTTGTGGTCATACTCTTTTCGGGGAAGGATGTTATATACATAAATTATAAGGACTTCAAGGAGAAGACTTTATCCAAGCTTAATTGAAAGCGTTACAGCCATTTAGGTGCTTCAGTCTATAGCGGCACATTTTCGGCCAACCTTTCGAAACGAAAGGCTGGAGGGTAATTAAATGTATATAAAAACATTCCTGAATCCGATAGAAACGTTATTTCAATATTTCAAAGCAATCGGTGAAGGAGTTTCCGATGTTAGCAGTTTTAAACAAACGGACATTTACGTTTTTATTAATATAGATAGTTATTTTGCCAAAAATTGAAATTCCACGTTTTAACTCTGTAAATACAAAATACAAATGTAAATACAAAAGTACTAAATTTGCGACTAGTTGTTCATAAGAACGTTTTATCAACAGGAATGCAATTTAAAATGATAAATTTAGTAGTGAAAGTTTCGGTAATGGTTTCTATGATTCGTATTCATTGGAAATTTTCCAAAAACGCTATTTAGCCTGAACTACGTCTGTAGTTCAAGGGTATTTGACATTCTCCAATCATACTAGAGAAATCACCTTTTAAATTTGAATAACCGCCTTTTTCTACCCCGGTTTATTTTACCCGGGCCTCAACCAATAAATTTTATTGATCCCCTGTACTGGGAGTTTTTTAAAGAATCGTAGCTCACTACTGTTTGATTCAAATGCGTGCTTGTTTTAAAAAATAATTTAATTAATGTTTTTTGTTTAAAATGAAAATTATTTTAATGCGTACTAACCAGATATTAGTGTAAATAGCTATTTTGTTTATGGTATTATTATTATCTTTGTAGAGCCTCATATTATAGGACGGTCTAGATAATATTTTCTTATTGTAATAAATCAAAATTTCATAATATATAATATTACATATTTCATTCGAGTTATTAATTATTCCTTTTTAGTAAAGAGCATGACATTCAAAACATCTAGAGTATCATAATGGCATCATGTAATGGTGGCTATTAGTTCGGCGTTGGTTTTTATAAAATTGTGTATATTGAGTTTTTCGTAAGGTGTTTTAGACTGTGAAATTGTTTTTTTCTTGTGAAGATTTATGGCAATTGCCACGGTAAGTAGTCATTAGTAATTCAATAGGTAATTTTATTTATTTTTCTTATCTCTTACCTAACAGTATGAAACAGATCACTTCATTCTCCATGTTGATTGTTCTGGATAACTCCTTTGGCATATTTCTTCTTGATGTTCCTATTAATCATTATTAAAACGTATTGTGCAATCGGAAAGTATATATATAAGTGAATTCTTTCTACAGCAGTGTCTACATTACTTCTTCATGAGCCAGATTATACTTAAGCAACCCTCTGATCATGTTTTAGTTATTCATAATATTTATTCATATGGAAGGCATAACTTTGTTGACGTGGAAGTTTTGTTGAATTATTAGTGAAATGTAATTTGTTATTTTTTGTTAGTTTCTTTTATTTATTAAACTTTATTGGTTTGTTAATATCTTGATTTTAATAAACAAATATTTAAAATAATCTGATAAGTGGATTTTCTGCTAACAAAATTCTGTTTAGGTTCAACTCATTTTGAGAACATAATCCTGGTGGCATTCATTTATTACTTTTGACAGTAAGGCATTCATGGGAATTTTATTTATTAAACATATGTTTTTATTTACTTTTATTTTTAAGAGTAATCTACTTCAGCAAGTTAAATCATACCTTCTGTGTTGGTTTTTCCAGTTTGTTGTATTATTTTCAAGGATTATTTAATATTTCTTAATTTTCTTTTGGCTATTATTTGCTCCACTAGATTGTAATTCTTGGTGCTGAGGTATATGAAGTGCTTTGCTATTATCTGAAATAACCATTAAATTTAATTAGTGGTAACATTTAGTTTTATAATTTTGAGGTGGACTATTGGCCTACTTATTTTAATTTTAGAATCCTATACTTTTATTTCGTAAAAATCCTCTTAATCAATACCTATACCTAGTTTTATATCTTTTACAGTTTTGGTCAGTGATGAGAGTTTATAATGTCTGTACATTATAAGTTTAAATCAGCCCTTTCTTTTGACACAATAACTTTTGATGGCCTACATATTTCTGTCCGAGACTTGAAGAAAGCTATTTTACAACAAAAGCAGATTGGAAAAGCTACTGATTTTGATCTTCAAATAACCAACGCCCAGTCTAATGAAGGTAACACCGCTACGCAGAATCCTCAAAACAATTGTGGTCTAACTCTTCAATAGTTATATTTTTGGGATAGGATTGATCATTTGTATGAATTCCTCGTGTTGTTGGACTTTTAGTGATATGTTTTTGACCCCTTTCAATTCATTTTTATATAATTCTTGCATATTACTTAATTGATAGTTATTTTAATTATGTTTTTAAAAGATTTTTTTTTTTTAAACTTTATAATGTAAAATATAGTATTGATTTTTGAAATACTAATATCAGTGATAAATGTTGACTAATTAATGATTATTTCAGTTATTAGGGATAGGGTAAGTTTTGTAAGTTACTGTGATGTTTATTTTTGTACATTTCATTTTGTAATTAACAGAAATTTGTTAAAGTTTATGTGATATATTTGATTGTGATTCTGTTCAGTGCCTAGTCATATTTGTTATTTTTCAATTGTTACTTAATCTGTTTCTTTTACTGAATAAATTTTTGTATATTATAAAGGATGTTTCCTCACTAACTTCAAATTAAAAACCTTTTAACTTTCATTTTTATTTGGTCAAAAATATAATTTTGGAGCTAAGGTGTTAATTACCATTGTAGTTGAATCATTCTAATAATTAAGGCGTTTTGAAGACTTTTCTCCAAATAAATAATTTTTCTTAAAAGATGAGTGTATATAACAGAATTTCTATTACCTTTTGATAATTATTATTTGCTTGGCATAGTTTATGGTTTCTAAATGATTTTGAGTTGTTCTGTTTTAATCGTTCACAAATGCTAATATTTAGGTTAACAATTATGTAATTTTGTGCGGATTTTTATGGTGTGTTAAGTGTTAATCTTTGTTATAATTCATATTAAGATAAAATTGACACCTTAATTGTTTTCCTATCACTAGAAATTAGGAAATTCTGTTGTCTTTAAAGAAAATACTTTTCTATAAAATGGTCTCTCTTTGTAATTATATTAAATGTCAGGTTTTTCTTTTGTTATGCTTTAATAATTTCTAGATATTAATAGTGAAGTGCTTGTTCCGGATCACTATTACAAGGTAGTGCTGGTTCAAGATCACATTGAGTATACTATAGATGGAATCCCAAGTAATGTCAAAAGCAGCTTGTTCATATATAATTATAGATTTGTTCTAATGATATATTTTTGTCTTAAGTGTATTGAAAGTGATGAAAGCTTCTACAAAAGGTTGTGGATAGATCCACGTTTACTTAAGGACATACTCTAAAATGGTTTTGAGATTCTATCTACAGTTTGCTTGAAGTGATGTTGAAACCAGCTACCATTTTATTGTAGTGATGCAGAACTAGTACTATAAGTTAATATGATTTATTGAAGGCAGAAAACCCTTTCTTATTTATTTATTTTTTCTTTATGTTTATTATTTGTAACTTGGTCATTACTAAGATTTTTTTTTAAACTTTAGTCCTCTTGTTTCAACTTCCACCTGTATAACATAAATATAAAATGGTAAACTCATCAGTGTTAAATTTTTCAATTAATGAAATATTTATCGATGGAAAAATATAAAAATGTTGAAAATAAAGTTTTGTAAACGATAAAATTACAAAATAAATCATTTTTTACCTTCATTCAGTGGTTTCTACTTTGTACTTTTAAATCATGTAACCATTTCTACTATTTCATGTTTAATAATTTAATAATTTTTTCTTTTATATGCTCCTTTCTATATTTTTTTTTTAATGATTTTCATTAATATATTTAAATTATATTTTTTTTTATTTTCACAATTATAAGTTGTATTAGTATACAATTTATTCAATTATTATTCACTAAATATTATTTATTACAAGTGAGTATTAATTTTAGAATTGGTTTTGTTTCAGTTTATGATGATGAAAATGTTTTAATACCAAAGAATTCATCTCTAATAGTTGTTCGTATACCTTTGACAGCTCAGCAAAAGAAAAGCTGGTATGATAAAAATTCACATATACATCAAGAATTTTATTTGATTTATTTAATGAAATATTTTTTGTTTCAAATTATGGATTGATCTAGAAATCAGTGGAAAATCAATTTGAAAAAGAGTTCTTGTTTTTTATTTTTCTTGGCAACTGATTTCAGTCTCAAGACCTTCAACGTACAAGGCTAAATCTTCTTTCTCTTCCTGCTTTATGCCTTTCTGCGTGGAGGTGCCTCAATTCATGAATCCTTGGGTTTGTGGTCATGTGCTAGAGCATTTATGTTCTTAGTTGTATGCCTTTTTAATTCTGTTGAAAATCTCCTGGTCAACCATCCCATTTCTGTTAATTACTACCCCTAGAAAGGCGTAATCCTCCACTTTTTCCAGTGTTTCTCCTTTGCAATCAGTTATAATCACCTTTTGTTCACGTCCGATATGCATTACTTACTTCTTCCAACATTATTTAGTATACTCTTTCTCTCCAGTTCAGCCTCCCATTCGATCTCCGCTTACTGTAGATTTTCCTTAACGTTTGGCAACAATGTTATCTGCAAAGACATCACTTGTGTCAAAATTGTCCTCATGTTCCATTTCCCAACAACTGTTCCTCGACCTGGCTAAATCAAAACACAATTATAAATAGCAAGTTAAAATGAGCAGCGATAATTAATATATAAAAAATCACAATATAAGAAAATCGAATACTCAACAATCTAATAAATAAAACTTCACATATACTTAAAGTTAAAAACTAACCATTACTTGATTTGTAAAATAATCTTTCGAGGCACAGTGGGACAAAGCATCTTTTTTGGGGACAAAGTCCTGTAAAAGATAAATGATACAAGGAAAAATTGATGTTTGATGTTTTAACCTTTGTTCTTGCTGAATCGAATTACACCTGAAACGTGTTCATGTGACCAATACTTCTTGATAATTTAATAAATTTAAATTCTTAATTTTTCATTTGTCAAAAAACTTATTGAATATTTTTTGTGTCATGATATCAGGGTTCTAAACATATTATACAACAGTAAAAAAGTATGTTTTCTTCGCAGTTATAATTTAGGATCATTAGGGGTTATAAACAAACATACATATATACACACATATGTATATTTTATGTTTGGTTGTAATTGGAAAAATTCCAACTACACTGCCTAGTATGTCTCCAAAATGCTGGCAGACAAAATGAAATAATTAAACATTGACGGGTTTTTTTAACGTTTCACCAATTCAGACATTATCAGGACAGAAAGAAGAGAACAGCAAATTGAACATCACTCCATGACACCCTAGCCTATATTGGCCCAGTGATTTATCCACTGGAGGAATCAAACTGGTATGGAATCATTATATCTGAATTTTATTAATGAAATAAAAGAAATACCAATTGCAGTAAGCGATTGGGTGTCATAGAGTGATGTTTGATTTGCTGTTCTCTTCTGTTCTGATGATGCCTGAATTGGCGAAATGTGGACGGGTTTTTTTCTTTGCCTTCATTTTTGAAACATAAGGAATTGTGGTTGGAATTTTTTCAATTATAACCTAACACTTATGGGTACTTGTGACTTAGCTGGTTGCCAAGGGTCCAACCTATATTCTTATAGAAGAAGCTGTGAAATATTTTCATAAGTTTGGAATAATTACAAAGATGAAATTCTGTGAAAAAGTTCATCAAATCGAGGTTGATAGGAAGACCAAATGGAGATGTTTTCTTGAAGTTGTAGGGAAAACATTTCTATAAGAAAATTGTGGTTAGAGGGGTCAAGAAATATCTTTTTTAAGGCTTTAAAGGTTATTTATGGCTGGTCTCATAATTTAACAACAATTGAGTGTTGTGAAGAGCAGCTGAAACTATCAAACAAAACTGGAACAGATTTTTTAGAGAAGTTTATGCCCATAACATGTTATGGAGGTCAAATAATAAATTAGAAGGACCGGAAAAGTGGTTGAAATAGACGAAAGTCAACTTTATTTGAATGTAAATAAAAGTGCTTTGTGATTATTACATTTCTTGTTATCTATTTCAATTTTCATAAATATTAATAAGAAGATAGGTATTATCAGTATCAGAATTATCAGTGTTGAGGTTATAAACAATGGTGGATACCAGTCTGTGGAGACCTACTAACTCACAAGTACCCATTTATTTATATTCTGTCTCTTAGTAAGCTCATTACTGATTTATATTAATATGTGTATGATATTTATTTATTATAAAAATTTCCAAATGTTTAATAGTGTGCAACTTTTTAAAAATTAGTGTATTAAAAGATTTAATCTAACGTCATGAGGGCAATTGGGAAAGAAAAAAAAATGTTGGCACCTCCATTTTGACTAAAACATTAATTTGCAGACTTCTGGTAGGTGTGATTTTTTGTTTTTCTTCAATATAAAAGTATTCTTTCATACTAATTTGTTTTGTAACCGACTAAATTGATATTTTGTTTGGTAACTTAGCTTCTTACTCTGTTCTGCAAAGACATAAAGAAAACAAATTATTGGGTTGATTGCTTTGGTTTGTGTGTTTATTGGTCTCCTGTTGGTACCCATTTACTTTGTTGACTTTCTGGTTGGGTTAGTGGTCTTTAAAATATGTGAAGACAGATGAAGATATAAATTACTTAAACTGACATTTGTTTTCACTCTTTTTATTTTTTTGCAGCTTCTCTTAGATACATTTTAATGCTGTAATATTTAATTTTATTTATATTGCTTTAACATGCTACTTTAAATTTTTATAACTTTCTCTAGTTTATTTTTTCAAAATTTTCCTAATTAATTTGTTCCTTTTTTTAATTAGGGAGAAAGCTGATACGTTACCATCTCTTAATACTAAACAGGTAAAATTATCATAACCATTATAATTTAAATCTTTGATACATTTCAGTAAGATCAAAGCATCTTAAATGTTACTTATTTTTTCCTTTCAGATTATCAGTCCAGATGCGCAAGATTTATTAGTTAATCGTCTAGCTAAGGTATGTAGAAGTAATGTCTTAGTAGTAGTTAATTGTTTTCAGTAAAAATGCTTTTTGATTCTACATTCTTTCCAGTAGGGAAATAACTGTTTGTATATTATTTATGCTTTTAAAATGTTGATCCTTTTATTATTTTTAGGCTGTTGATCTTACTAATGTTGACGCAAGTGAAGGAGACAAAATACAAGCTGCTATAACTCAGTCTACATTAGATTATGATCCTTCAAAGTAAGTTGATTCTCAATTCAGTTTTATTTATAATAGGTTTTTTTTTGCTATTTATTTTGAATTCATCTCAAATCTAGAATGAAAAACAAATTTTATGTTGTCGTGATGAAGAAACCAATATTCATAAGTAAATTATTATAATGTGTTTAAGAAACTTCATTTTAATTTTTTAATGTAATTTAAAATTGAAAATAGTTATAATTTTCTTTTTTCTGCAGTTATTTAAGGATAAAAGGATCAAATCAAGTTGGAGAACTTCCTGCTAATTATCGTTGTTACAAATGTTTGCAACCTGGCCATTGGATTAAAGACTGCAAATTGAATGCTCAACAGGTGAGAATTAGTTATATGTATTTTATTTATCAAAAACCTTCAGATAATTAGTTTTAATTTTTATAACAAAATATATACTATTTAAAGGTAGATTTTTAAAGCAAATTGGATTAGCAAGAAATTATTTTTTTTTATCACACTTAGTAGTGAGAGTTGTTGAAATATTTCAGTCAGTTACATCATATTTTTCTTTTGATAATTGATATTAACAATTTTTAGTTTACTCCTAGAACTCAGTTGTCCCTAATTAAAGTTCTACTTTTGAACCAAGCATTTTTGGTTAATTTTACATTTTTAATTTTCTTAAAAATGAAAAACTGTTAAGGCCTTACGAGATATGAGAATTTTGTGGTGTTGTAAGGATTGCGCAATAAAGTTATTACAAAAATTATCCCATTTGTAGTATTTTTGATCCTGGTAGAAGTACTGAAATTAATGATAACTAAATCACCATCATAATTGATTAAATAGAACACTGTATATAGAACACTGAGTTATGTATATTGTAATAATCTCATAAACCTTGTAAAGAAATTATAATTCAAAACTGTTCCCTATACCTCAGAAAGATTTAAATATTTGCTCCAGGATTGTTTCTAATTTCTCTAATAGCCTTTTCGAGATCTAAGTTGAATACTATGAACGATTGTGGGTCACCATGCCTCAGTCTGCCTGCCACCTCAAACTCTTCCGATAGGGCTCCACAAACAGTTTCTTGTGTTCATTTGAATTAACCTCACCAGTTTTGGCAGGACTCCTAGAGACCTGATATCCCTTGTTATCCTTACGCTGTGCACCAAGTCATATGTCAGCTAGAAATCTATTAAAAGGTGGTGCAGAATAACATTATTCTTGTAACTTTCCCAATAGCTCTCTTAATTTGATGATTAAATCAGTTGTTAATCTTCCTTGTCTGAAGCCACATTGGTTATCACCGGTGACCCTCTCAGCCAATTTCACAAACCTCCGGTTATTCGTTCTGGAGAGGACCTTGTACACAGATGACAGAAGCGCTATACCACGATAGTTCTCGCATGTCATTCTGTCACTTTTTTGTAAACAGGGGAAAGACGATAGCTTAGCTCCAGTTCTACTTTCCCACAGTCATACTTTTAATTTCTTTCTTAGGCTAGTTTTTCACATTCCTTTCATTCTCATCATTTTTTCTTTCAATTGTCCCTTACCAAGAACTTCAGTTGCCACCTTGAAGGTGTCTCTTCTTTAAATGCACACCAGTTATCTTCAATTGGCTCTTTTCTTTGCAGATTCTCTAATTTATATCTAACCTTATCTATAAAATGATCCAACTTACATCCAAGACCTCTAAACCTGTGAACATCTTGTATATCTGTGAATGTCTACTATCCACCAATATATAGTCAATCTGATTCTGGGTCTTTCCATCTGGAGATACCCATGTCTCCTTGTGGATATTCTTGTGAGTGAAAAAGGTGTCACTTACTCTCATTCCTGTACTTCATCCCTCATACCCGAAAGTCTATGGGTGTATCCCATCATCACTGGAGATATCATACTATAACTGGATAAAATGCGTTCTCCTTCCCTATTTTTGCATTCCAATTTCCAAAGACCGGCTTTACATCATGTCTCAGGATTCCATCCATAACCATTGCTAGAGTACGATGAAATTCATCTTTCTCTTCCTCTGATTTATCTTCTGTCGGCCAATGCACACTCACCATTGATAAATTAAAGATTTTACCTTATCAGTCTTAGCCTTGTAATCTACCAATGTTTGTTTGAAAGAGTTTTTTATTACAAAATCAGTCCAACAAATTATTACTCAAAATCAATATATCCAAATTTTTCCATCTGATTTCTTATAGGGCTACTATATCTATTTTGTATTTCAAGAGCTCCTCTTTTAACATTCTACTCACTCTTGACTAAAGTATACTTCTAATTTTCTATGTTCCAATTTAAATCCAATCCCAAGCTTCGGTCTTAACCTTAAAACAGTCTGGCTATTTCTTCTTTGTGTATGCGTAACAATATGGTTTTTTATGATATGCGTTTGACATCCCAGTGCCTAACCCTCATCCTGGAAGACTGGTGTTTTTGTCAGGATTTACTCCCTTAGTCTCTGAGCTTTCATTCTAACCCACAAGACTATGGTAGATAAGGAAATCCAAGAGTACAGGGAAGGTATAAGAAAAGAACCATTGGAAGAGATGTGTAGGATGGAGGTGTGAGGTCTGCACGCAGTTTTCCCTTTGCTCTCCTTTTACCTCAAGTGGTAAATACTGTGGGTCTACTCTACTTCCAAACCTACAGGGACACTTAAAAAAAAAAAAAAGTCTTGTAAAATATGTTCTTCATAAAGCATTGATTAGTTGGATTGGCTCTTTTTACATTACTCTCCATTTTTTTTTTTTTTTCAATTTTATATTATATGAAAACTTGTCACAGAACGTTAACATTTTCTTTAAAATTAAATTTTATTATATGTGGATACTGCCAAACTGTTTAATAGTTTATGGTTTTTTCTCTCTTGTTCCTTTACATCAGCTTTTAACATAAATAAAAACTATAATAATATTGACAATTGTTGTTAATTTTTTTTTTTAATGTAGGATGCAATTGAAATAAAGAAAAGTACTGGTATTCCTCGAAGTTTTATGGTCCCTGTTGAGGGTCCTGAAGTTCCTGGAGCAATGATGACACCAACGGGACAGTTTGCTGTTCCTTCGATTGAACAGTGAGTAAAATTTTATCTTTCAATCGTGTTAAGTTTTTATTTTCTCCCTTTATTTTCACCCTTTTCCCTCTGAATTGGTATAATATATTTTAACAGTTATTTCATGTCTTGGTTTTATGTCTTCCTTTGATACATTTTAATTTTCACTTGATGTTAGTTTGATCCGTGAATATATCCTATTGACTTATCAGAAATTAAAATTAAGAAATAAATATTTTTGAAAATAAAGCTGGAAAATTCTCATGAATGCTCAAGGTGTGAGAATAAACGGAATATTCTGAATTTAAAAGACATCTGATCCGATCCATAGATATGAAAACTGATTAAACTAATGCTAATTAATCCGTATTGATAATATGATTATTAATACTAATACTGATTTAATTCTATTTCTGACTGGAGTTGTGTATACAAAATGAGCCCATGTGACTAATTGGAAAGAAAATATGAATGATACATCCTGTATGAAATACAGAATACATTACCAATTTTTTTAGAAATGCTGATACTATTAAACTTATTTGTGAATTGATGGTTGGCTGTAGTGAATAATTGAAGAGAAGGATGGTTGGGGTGATCAGTAAAAAAAAATAGCACAAATAAATAATTATTTATATTTTTATATTTGAAGACGTTTCGGCCAGAAGTTCAGGCCTTCATCAGGGCTGGTCAATCGAAGAAGCACGGAAAGACCACGTTGGATGTTTGAAAATATTGTTTATTGATCAGGGTCCTCAAAGCTTGAGAGCTCTATGACAGGTGTTGAGAGAAAAATTATTTGAAGAATGGGCCAGTAGCAAGTTATAAGGTGTTGAGATTTTTTAAAGATATCATGAAAGCCTATAAACATATGTAAGAAACAAATACTTTTGTGATCAGAATGGTCTTAAAACTCAATATCAACTATGCTATGCACTTTAACATGGAGTTCCAGAAGCCAGTGGAGAGTCAAAGGAAGTTTGGTTTCTGTGTCGAAACACCAGCCCATGTGGAAAATGTCACAAGTCCCTCATAACATACTGGCACCATATGAACAAATTCAAGATAAATAGGCTCCTCAGGGTAAAGGAATTCACCGGCTTCGGTGACGTTTATTGCATTGACATTGACAAATCTCCCAGATATGTGAATATTGTTACATTTCTCTGAAGGATAGCACATATCTTGGATCCAATGGTTCGTTTTAACAGCTATGACTTTGATCAGGTTGGTGAAGCGGAAATGGAAAATAAGTACATAAATTAAAAATGTATCCCTTTTCTAAAATGGACATTCCGTGAGACCTTTCGAGAATAAGAGTTCACCATGAGAGGCCTCTGGTTTAGGTCCTGCAGAATGATTCCAAAAAGAACATGGAGCTTCCTCAAGGAACAAGATTTTGATATTCCTACAGATATTAATATCTATTCCTTCTAATATCGCAGGGTGTACACATAGTAATTGACGTTGATCTTTGGCTCCCGTTTAAGCAGGCCAGAGCCCATTAGTTTGATGAGGTAATTATTCAATTTAGTCATCACTTCCTCATTTAGTACTGCTCTCCTGAGAATGTATATTCTTAATATTTAATAATAACATCAACCTTTGATAATTTGAGGAAATATTGATTCAAACCAATCTCGGTAAGGATACTCCCAATTTCAAAAAGAGGTAATAATGCTAATTCTAATGATTTGAGGATTGATTCAGGCTGCCTTAATAAATGTTATTATTATTGAATCTAACAACACAAAAGATTATTCAAATGTTATATTGAAGACTTTGTGTACACAGATACAATTACACTCGATAGAACAGTGTAACTAACCTTAAGATTAAAATACTGGTAATAGACTCCTTTAAGAGAAATTTTCAACATTATTGTGAACCATTGCTTTAGTTCTGATTCTGGATCTTTGCAAATGGGTTTAATTGATTGCAAATTTAGTCTTTTATAGAACAGGAAAACTAATCCGATCTCTGATGTCTAAAACCTGAAGCTGGATTAGGCATCTGAATCTGAGGACAGATTTGTTAAGGGATAAATTAATAGGGTACATACATGAATACAAAGCCTTACTACTTCTATAGTCAGGAAGCAAAAAAATAACCATCTTAACATTATTTAATTTTTATTGTTAATGATTCTGTACAGAAATAATAAACCCTTGTGTAATAATTTGCTACATCTTTAATGTGTAATTAAAATTTTACCTTTGATGTTTGTTTATTATTGAACTTATGAACTTGTTTATTATTATTGATGTTAATTACTGTTCTTAAGTATGAGAGTCATCAACAACGTAATCATTTACAACCTCAGGCTCATCTTCTTTTTCCTGAAGGAATACACTATGATTTAGCTTTTTATGGAGTTTATTGTCATTCCTTTGCCAAGAAGCCTTTCTTGCTATTCAAATAGTGGTTATTACAGTTTTCCTTTATCACTGGAGACAAGAGCAATATTGCCCAGGAATAAATATATCTATATGGATATTGTTAGTATGTTACACTTCGTTATTACACCTCTTCCTGTTCTTTGCTTACATTAGTTTCATCTAAAAACATTATGAAAATGAGAGGAGTAAGACTTTCTCCTCGCTTTACACCTCGTGCCATATATACAAAAAAATATTAAACTCATACCATTTCTTCTTTTAATATATTTTGGGTCTTGGTATGTTGATTGTATTGCCTACATTAAAAGCACAGAAACATTTTTCCTACTCAAGGACTCTCTTGGAACTTTACTTCCTTTAACTCTTTAACTGCTAACGAAGGTTATAGTCATTGCAACAAAATGTGCCCCTGTTGCTAATGACAGCTAAAGACGATGCGTCACTCTCCCCCTCCTCTGCTCTCAGTGCTAACATTAGCTATAACCATCGTGTTGCTTTTCTTTCCATTTGCTAATGTCGACTAGTCTGTGCTTGCTACATTCTGATGTTTTCCTAGTAAAATTTCTTAACTAGAGCCTACAGATGGCGTGAGGATTTATTTTGAATCTTTTCTTGCAGAATTTATTAACCCTTAATGGGAGATTAGCTGCTTTGGCCTTTCTATAGCTGTCTCAACAATTTTCATTCTTGTTTTTGTGTTCTGTGTGAAACAACCGTATGTTCAACTGGTCTGAGTTTATATAAATTTTATTTTAGTTTAGTCTTGTTATTTAAGTTAGAAATTAGATCAAATAGGATTAGTTTAGTTAGTTACACAACCATAAAAAATTAAATATTTTAGTTATAAATTATTGGTTTTTTTGTTCCGTTATTTTTGAAAGTGGAGAAACAGTGGTTTAGAAGGAAAATAAAAAAAAAAATATACGTACTGAAGATAGATGGTTTGTTTTAAAAAAAAAGTTGGTACAAAAACATAGTGGAATGTCGCAAATTTAAGGTTGCTCTTTGTATTGACAAATGCTTTGAATCATACTATACAAAATTAAATTATTAAATAAATATTTAAACAAAAAAAGTACCATAGTTGGTCCACTGTCTGAATCAAAAATTGGGATGGAAACAATACAATAAGGTTAACAGATAGTAGTAGAGCTGGTTATATGGGTGGAAAGCACTTAAAAAGTATGTAGCATGGGTTGGTAGTGAAGCAGCCGTCTTACTTTGCACTCTGATAGATGAAAAGCTCCTCACTTATAGTAGCTAAAAGGTAAAAGGGATTTGATTTTCTGTCAACATTTCTTGACATTGTACCTGTAGTCTATTTCCAGAGAGTTTCCTAAGTTCTTGCATCTCCTTTTTTTTTTTTTTCTCTCTTTTGTATTATAATTCTTTTGGCTCTATATACCTCTAGATTCTCACTGCCATGGTTTGACAGATATTCTTTCCTGAAATTGTTTTTTTGTTTTATCTATATATTACAAATATTGTTATTCTTGTTATTCTGGTGGTCGGTCACCTGTAATATTGTATTTTTTTTAGTCCTTTCTCATGTCCTCCAAATCATTGTCAATGTCTAATTCCCTTAGCCTCTTTATATTGGCATTTATGTATTCATTCTTCTTTTGTCCTTACTGCCGGGTCTGCATATTGATCTTGGTATCGAATGCCTCTTTGTATACTTAAAAATCTTACATATATCTCATACTCAATGGAAGATCAGTATTTAAATCCTCTAATAACTTATAGTCAGTGAAATGCCTTTTGAAATAATCAATTATGTTATTACACTGTCACATGTAGAGGTAACGATTAGCCATTTTTGTGATAGTAGAATGCATTATCTATTATGAAATGTTTATCCACATACATGAGACTGTTGAATCAATTAGTATTCATTTTCTTCAGTATGCTGCAAAATGATTCCATGCCCAGTTTGATTATCACACTGTTCTAGCATTGAAGTATATTACTTTACTCTTTGATTATAACTTTCCTTTTATTATTTGTTGCAAAATACTCATTCCAGATGTGTGTAAATAGCTTCTTGCCAACAATTACTCAGTAACAGCATATATCTTTTTTTTTTATTATTCCTTACCTAGCCATTTCAGGCATACTGAAGGTTGTTCTAAAGGGACAACCAAACCTATTCTAACCAGAATAGGAAGGTTGAGATTCATTCTGTGGATCCACCACAAAATAAATTTCAATCTACTCTGGCCGGATTCGAATTGGTATTGCTCGACTCCAGAGTGATTACAGTCCTAGATCATATCTGGATGAAGTTGAGCGTATATCTTTTCCATACTAAGTTGAAAATTAGGCAGAATATTACAAGAGGATACTGGTTGCCAGTCTTGTCTTGCCAGTATCCTCAACTTCTTTCTTTATCGAAATACCCATTTCTTTATTTATAAAAATAGCTACTTTCTTTATGGAAGTACGTAATTCTCTTCTCCCAGATCTTCAAGAACTCATGAGTATATCAGAGTGTAACTATTAAAACCAACATGGTTATGGTTGGTGCCAGGTTAATTCCTTGAAGATGTGTCCTCAGAGTGGCAACTGACCTGAAAAATATAGGAAAAGTCAGAGAATTTTCAAACCAGGGAAAATTGTGGGAGAAGTCAGGGAATATTTTTAGTTCGAAAATATTTTTTTCAAGTTGGAAATAAATATACAGTGAATATCGTTTATAATGCCTTGAAGGAGTAAACATTGTCATTTTAAATGACCACGGTCACTATATTCATCCACCTTTGGCTATAAATAATGGCTCTGGTCGTTATATTGAAATCAAAAATGGGCAATGAAAAAAATTTAAGCAAAATGGACCTTAAAAGCAATTCTTTTTGAAAAGAAAAACATACCAGTACGTTTTACTATTTGTAATATATTATATACATCTGGGTCAAGATCTTGCTGGCAAACACTCATTTGTCCGACCTGTGGTGCTCCTTAAGAGAGCATTTATTAATCTGACATGTTATAGTTGGTGTTATATGGATAATTATGTTGCTGCTTATAGGAATAAAGAAACTAAATTACTTATGAGATACTATGTTAATATTAGAAACCCTTGTAACACTTAATTTTATAATAAAGACAATTATATGTCAAGTAGCAACTTTTACCTCCTCTGAGTTTATGAAAATAAAATAAAAACAATAAAAATAAATTACTAAAAGTTTAGTTTTCTAAAACAAAAAATTCTAATCAAACTTTTAAAAATGCTTCCTTTAAAACATTATATTTGCTATTTAGAACACTGTTTTTTTCTTATTCAAAATCATTTATTTTCAAATACATAAATTTTGTTATTAATTATACATTTTTAATATTTATGTCCCCCTACATATTGATCAGGGAAAACTATCATTAAATAAGGAAATGTCAGGGAAAAGTCAAGAAACTTTTCTTTAACTGTCTGGTAGCCAACCTTGTCCTGCTGACTAGCACTCTCCACTCATAGATATCGTCCTAGGTTACTGCCAGGTCTCAGGGGATATCTGGATCTCATCCACTCACAGATTAATCCATCCATGGTTGTCACCACCTCAGACAAGGTTGCTTGTCTGAAAGGGGCTAACCAGTGGGTAAGTGAAAGTGGAGTTGGAAGGAAGAGGTGGCCGGCCACTTTTGTCCACGTGACTCTTCACTCTCCTTAGATCCCATAATGTGTAAATATTTATATTACCTTAAATATTACATGTATAAGATAAGCAGATTATTAATTTTTTAAAATAAAAATTAGAGTTTTGAAGTTGATTTTTAAATTTGTTTTCGTCTTTCAGTGAAGCAAGAAGAGAGCCTATAAGAAAACCTGTAGAACCAGCAGTGTTAGAGAAACCTGCAATTCCTGATGATTTGCTGTGTGGAGTTTGCAAGGACCTTTTAGCAGATGCTGTTCTAATTCCGTGCTGTGGAAATTCTTTTTGTGATGAGTGTATGTATATTATTAACTTGATTTTCCTAATAAAATTTTGGGAATTTGTTTTGTCAAACTTAATTATTTATTTGTCTCTAAGACATCTCTGCAACCATTTATCAAACAAAAATAATTTAGTTAATGTATTAAGTCAATGCATTATTAATTTTAAAGATACTTTAAGATAATAAAATATGGATTCATTATGTCACATGAACTATCTTTGTAGTTAAAAAAAGTTTTTGTACATTTTTTTAAATAGATCAACTGTGTTTTAAATTGAGGAATATATATTTATTTATTAATAACTGAAGTTGTTATATTATATGTGCAAGGAATAGAATATAAGAAAAGTGATTATTCCTTTACAGAAAATATGATATGTTCAGGAACGTGAAGTGTAATGTAAAATAGTTTGTATTCGTTAATAGATATTAAGATGCAAATATATCTTAAATTTGGCTTTAATGACTTCATGCCTTTTTGAAAAATGAAAATTAATATAGAGAAGAGAATTGTTGTTGAAGCAGCTATATTAATTAATGCCAGTTTTTTAAAGATCTTATTGTAAATACTCAAGCACTAAGATCTGCCATTGAATGATAAATACTCATTTGAATTACTGCTACAATGCATTCTAATTTTTTATAGTAAAAAGGAAAAAGGTGATCTTGTGGGAAAGTCAGGTTCTTGTCATTTTGAATTCTGACTAAAATTATTTAATAATTATCTGTTATATGAGGAATATATTGAACTCTTTGGTTAGACGATCATCGTAAATGACTCCTAGGTAGAATTGGGACCCTTAATAGATTTGGAAATGCTAGCAGCATACACCTTCATTTTCGTAGTATAACTGTTATTCAAGAATTATCAAAATTACTTCTATGACTCTTCATATTAGTTTTATTTGTGCAGGATTTTTGTTTGTTTGAATAATACTCTAATATTGTAGTTACTTTAGGAGTTGTAAGTAGTATTTGTAAATTTTTGGTAACACAAATTTAGATTAAGGTTTTTACTTCCTTTTTTGCTATTTTGAAAACATTCAAAATTTTCTTGTTGGACTCTAAAAATAAACTCCTAAGTGTTTTTCTTCTGGTTTCAATTATTTATATTTAATAGATTTTTTTATTATTCTACTTTAAAAGGGAAGTACATTAATATGTTTTCAATATTTTAAATTACAAAAATGATTTATTGCTTATCCAACATATAAATAAAATCAATATTGATCTTTGCTTTCTCCTCTTTTTCAAAGTAAGAATAATAAACATTTTGAATTACAATCTTTTCTCCAACTTATAATTTTTCTTGTCAAAATAAATGTGGAAAATAAGTTGAATTTTTAATAATTATTAATAAAAATATTAATAAGACTGAATAGTTCAGACAACACTCCTTTCACAAAAAAGGAGTGGTTGGGGTTGATAAGTTATAAAACACTGTGTTAAGATACTTAATTTAAAGCGTGATGAGGGGAAATCTATTGCCTTTTTATTAAAAAAAATAGAAGAAATAAAAGAAAAAGTTTGAAAAAGAAAGGTGCTATGAAGTGGACGTTTTAAATATGTGATTGTGGCCCTACTCAGCCGAGTCAATATGGATTATAAACACCTTGGATCCTGTAATATTTGGAAGGTTTTTCAAGAATACGCTTAAAGAAAAACCTACATAGCATTAAATCTTTAACTCAAATAGTAGACTATTGCCAGTGGATTTGTAAGTGTTGACTGATTAAACTTGGAACTTCAATTTATCTTTAATTCGGCGGAACACAATTTTTTTTAAACCTGCAACACCATAGTGAGAAATGTTTTTAAAAATAGTGACATTTGAAGAAAAAAAAAGAAGAAAAAGGTTCTTGAGTGTAAAATCCACAGTTTTCAATACTCTTGACCCATTTCTGCCAATACAGAGATAATACGAACTTTGAATGTATTTTTATGTTTAAATAAATGAAAGATATATGTTTGTTGAATTTGAAAATGATTGCCCTTCTAGAGTACTAATTTTAGGAATGATGATTGAACGCAATTCATCTATGGGTGAATAAGGGTTCAATTGTAAAACTAAAATTATGCTGCTCCAAAACAAATCTAATTTTTATTTTTACATTGTTTTAATCAAGAACTTTCGTTACACTATATAAATGTTGTTGCTCTTCCGGTTTCTTTGATTCAGTGTTCTCTGGCAAAGTTTAGACAATTCATCTTATCTCTAAATGGTTCTGTGGGTTCAATCATCTCTGTAATGAACATTAGTGTTAATTGAGATCGATATTTTAAAGTCCCAGAATTGGAAATCTGTCTTGCTTTCTTTGTTGGAATAATTTCATCAATATTTTTCTCATTAGTCAAATCTAAGTCAAGGGGTATTACAAAAATGTCTCCATTTTACCATTTCTAGATCCATTATTAGCAGTCGAGCATAAGTAGTTCTTCTTTCTCAATGAGGATGTAGGAGGAGACTGTTTTGGATTTTGTTCAATGGTTTTCCATTTTATAATGGAGAATTTGTTCAAGAATAGCATAGACCATGCAGACATAATTTTTGTGCAGTCACCTGAAACGTTTTTGATCGCTTTTTCTATAAATAATTTTCACTGTGTCTTACCAATATTTTGTTTTTTTAGCTTTATAGCATTTTTTTCATAATATTTGTTTTTATTTGTGTTGTTCTTTCACCTGAATTAATTTTTTAAGTTTGTAATTTAGAGTAGAATATGCATTAACGGACTGAAAAATTAAAAATTAAAATTAAACTAAAAAATTTTGTTAACAAAAATTAAAGTGATCATAAATAACTGCAAATTAGCGTTAGACTAGTTGGAATCTGGAGATCCTTGCAAGCTGGGAAGTAGGGGTCAAAATAATCAGTAGGGATGCAGTTTTTAGCCATATGGGTCCTGACAATTGAACATTTCCAATGTTCACAGACCAGTTAAGTGTATATTCAGAACAAACGAGATGGGTTTAGAATAAGCTGAAAAATTTAAATACACATTTATATCAGTTAATACATAAGTTACAGTTTTTTGAGAAAAAATGTTTCTTACTGAAAATGTGACAACTTTTTTTAGGTAACACCTATTATGCACTTGATCTTAACTGTATTTTTTAAACTAAAAAAACTAGGTAAATGGTGGAAATGTTTGCACAGAAGCAATTTACACTTTGAATGAGCTTCTTTTGCGAGTTTTAGACCATTCCAAAAGCTTAGTATTCTTAAATAATTGTCAATAGGTGCCACAAATAGGTAGGAAAACGCCGAAAATAGCATTTAATTATCTAATAACTAATTGTTATTACTATTTTTTTTTTCCATTTCAATGTCTTCCACAATTCACAGCCATTATATTGTCAACAAACTGGTGTATTAATATTAATTGTTAAGTGGAATTTGATGAAATTGATACTGGACCATTTGTGCTGGATCATTATTTTCAAAATTTCCTCTAACTTTGGGTTAAATCGAATGTGCAATTTTTGAGATTGATGCCCAACAAGGAAAATAAATTTATGCATATGGAAAAGTAATAGAATTCATTAAATGTAAGGTACCATCATTTTGCATTAATCCCTAATTTTGAAAAAAAAAAAAAAAAAACAAGCAATAGGTATATACAAAAAAAAAACAAAAAAAAAACAGTACATGTATATGTGAAAGCGTGGGATAAAATTTGATACAAGGAACCAACTTTGTTCCTTGATTACTAAAACTTAATACTTAAGTGTAAATTATCGATTCTGAGGGGAAAAAAATTAACCTTCTACTTTTGATTGTGAGAAGCAAAGTAATAAAATCTTAATTGGACTGATATTAGTGTACGTACAACATACAATTTTTGTATTGGAATTTGCACCCTAAGCTGTTCAGAGACTTTTAGGAGTGGACACATGAGATATTTTCTTGCAGTTATTTTATTTTATAAATGAAAATTCCATTTCCAAATGTACCTATATACAAAACCGTAGACAATTGGAAAAAGTTGTTATGCATCCACTAGATAGCTCCATCTGTGCAGTAACTGGTACTGAAATGATATTGTTGGGAGAAACAAGAGACCTCATGGTACTGAAATGATATTGTTGGGAGAAACAAGAGACCCTCATGTTTTTGAGAATAGGAATGTCAAAAATTTTTTTTTAATATCAACACTAAATAATCATCAATGGACTCCTATTAGCTTGATTGTCATCCTCTATTAGCCACATTTGTACAATTAAGGATTTATATTGAGAAAGAAAAATTGGATGGATTGCGAAGGACAATAAAAAAATTAGAAAAATCAAAAATTTCATAAAAATATTTATGCAGTTTTAGAAAAAAATATGAATCTGTCTGATTTCACAGATATGTAGTGTCTAAATTTCATGCCAAAATTTCTTTCTAAAATTATTCATTAAAATTTTCATTTTTAACATTTTCAAGAAAATACCATTTGACGTTTCTATGAAAGAAAAATAGTTACTATATTTTTTTCATAAATATTAAAAACCATCTGAAGGATGAGAAACCATATTTTGGTAAGTTTTATGTTTGTTCACATTAATCTGATTAATTTTAATTTCCAGTAATTTTTTTTATTATTATTTTTGTTTTGTATAAACCTAACATGAGATGAATGTGAGATTGTATTAATCTAGTAAATGAATGGCAGTCTCTCGGACCTGTATATTTATGAGCACTTTCCCTTCGTTCCTGGGCTGTTACTCCCGGTTCAGTCACGAACCATTCCTCTGATTTGTTGTAGATTTAGATAAAGTTATATATGCTAGATTATCTCACTAGCTTATCTATATCCTGATAATATTCCATCCCTTTATGACTTGGCATACATGTATGTTGAATTTTTTAAACATACCAGTAGCCATAACCATAAGTAGTAATTCTGAGTTGTTTGTCCAGTTCTATGTCATATGATAGACGTTCTTATAGAGTCAAAGTTTTGGACTCTGTCATGATCATCAGTAAGATCTTCTTAATCATGGCCTCTTCTACCACAGAGCAGTGTG